TCGACAGCGACGAAAATACTTCGATACGTGATGTTTTACAACGGTCTAATCGGAGTGTATATAGTAGAGAATTCTGGAACCCACTATCGTTGGGCAGGTCCCTCCTCGTAGTGTCATTTCGGAGTTGTAGCGCGCGAGATGTTAATCGCAACAGTGTCTCAGCAGCCGTGAGTGATCGTCCGAAACTTTCTACAGTGCGTCCAGAAAGTTTTCTGCTCGTCTTGTCATTAATACATCACGGGATCATTGGAGCAACGTGATCCGACCGACCGATCGACGCGTTGTTAATTCCATCGTCTGAGCTTCCGCACGATGAGTCGCGTCAGCTGTCGATGTATCCTTCCAGCAACTCCGAATTGAACCATCGGTGGGTGAATACGATGGATCTAGCAATTTTCTTTCGTCCTTCGATACGTTCGAGGTTCACGGGATCGTTCGTTCGTTCGCCATCGAATCACGCGGCACGACGGACGGTCGAGTTACGCGATAAAAGGAAAATTCTCGTTAAAGCACGGAAACGCACGGGCGGAGATGGACGCCACGAAACGACGGAGAGGACGGAGCCACTGCTGGCCGACTGCCGACGGTCGAACACGCTACGGTTCCGACGATCAGCTGATCGCCACGCGCGCTACTATGGTAACCAACGGCAGCGGGCTCCGGGTAGGGTTGCACGCGCGCACACGACTTTTCGAAGGCGCCCGTATGCCACCTCGCGGTTCTCCGATAATGTGTGTGTATATATATATATATATATATATAAATGTGTGTGTGTGTATGTGTTTATGTGTCTGTGCGCGTGTTATATATATACACACTGTATACGACGTGCACGCGTGCGTACGCACACACGTGGCTGGAAGGTACGACGCGTATCATGCACCAGTGTCCGTCGATAACAAAAACACGACGACGAAGGAAACCGACCGAAGAGGCAGGGGTCGAATCGATAACAACTTTTCGGCTTCTCCCGTGTTTTCTTTTAGTTTCTTCCTTTTCCTGTCTCTCTCCTACTCGATTGCGCGACACGCGACGCCCACGATGGACCTGAATGATTGCGGAGCGCGTGCCGTCGCAAGGTAGAAACACCGGAGTACTGCGTGACTCGTCACTAATACGACGAAGGTGACCGGTGTCTGACAGGAAGGAAAATCACGAGGTAAGCGTGGCGCGAGCGGCTACGTACGCCATCCGCTCGTGTCGGCAGTCGGGCGTGCACTGCCTTCCTGAGTCGCCGGTTGGTTCTCGATCCTCGACTCCGCGGCTCGCTCGACTCGCTCGCCTGCTCGCGGCCTCCATCCCCGTATCGCGCTACGCTCCGACGCTTGGTACACGATGCTGCACGCAGTGCCGCATTATCCTATACCGCTGTGTATGTCATAACTAAACGCATATCGAAAAAGATTGTTTCGATACAATGAAAATCGATGGAGTTGTGCGCGTTTATAGTACAACTATAGTTCGATGGATAATCTCTTTTTTTCTTTTTTCTTTTTTTTTTTTATATGGATTTATTTTACGTTGCATCTACTGCATGGTAATTAGCGACGAATTCGATTTGGTTTCCGGTGGTGCTATTGGGTTGTCCAGAAAGTTCGTGGCAATTTTGAAGAAACATTCAAAGACACGTTTGAATTTCGATATATGTTTATTGAATTATATAGGTGCCATTTTGTTCCACAATTTTTCCACCTTTTAAGGGATGTCCGCATGTTATTTGTTTTCAACCATTCCGATATATTCAGACCTGTACCGCCTACTAAAAATCGACATGGACTTTCCAGACAACCCAATATATACTACTGTAGAGTTTGGTGTCCTTGAGGTAGTCGATGGTATTTTGCACATGTTCCTGGGATGTTAGAGCTGTTTCTGGATCGAGATTATACTTCCTACTTTGTTCATCGAATTTGCTGCATTCGTATAGTAGGTGGTTAGTTGTGATTTCCTTATTGCAGTAGTCGCAGTGGGGAGGGCCCGTTTTCTTTAGTATGTATTCGTGTGTGATTTTTGAATGTCCAGTTCCCAATCTAGTCAGTATTATTTTTTCTCTCCTGGTCATGGAGTGTTGGGATACTGTTTCGGTAAAAGTCGTGCGTTATATTGTGAGGTTTTGTTCTTTTGTTGTTCCATATTTTATTCCATTCTTCTTTCGATGAGTGCTGTATTCTCGTAATCGAGTCTCGGTAAGGGATTTCTATTTCGTTATTTCGAGTCAGTGGTTGTCGCTTTTCTCTTGCAACGAGGTCTGCTTTTTCGTTGCCAGTGATGCCTTGGTGGAAAGGTACCCAAGTAATTTTTATGTTTTTGTTTTTGTTTGTAAGTTTGGTGCACGTTTCCTGGATTTTTGATGGATAATCTTGTTGCGATAGGTTTGTTCGGTAGTATATTAGGTATAGAAATGAATTCTGTGCCTTCCAAGTCTTCGACCTGATCTCTGTTATAACATGCGTATAAACTTCTATATAGATTTCTACGTGTAACTTAAGTCTCAACCTGATGGACATGCAGGGTAATATTTTACTTATATGGTCGATACTTTAGTGTAATAAAATGACCAGTAAATATTTCTACTTAAACTAGAGTTACAAGAAAAATAAATGATAATTGATCGAATATAAAGGTACGAAACTAATTTCTAATTCATTTCAAAATTCATATTCATTAAGACAGTAAGTTATTAGCAATAGCGAATGAAAAATCATATCTTTAGAAATCGAAATATAAAATGATAAAATGCTTATATGTATGTTTCTTACTTCGTGAACAGATTGATATTCCTTTTGTTTTCATTTCAGAGCATTTTCGAATGGAGCATCTTTTCTTCTTCGAGATGCTCTATTCTTGTTCGACGGACCGCATACTCCAATTCAAAGCTTTGAATTACAATGAATGACTTCGTATGATAGTTCAGTAATTTTATCTAACCAAGTGCTCTCTTATCATCGATAAAAAGATACAAGTATCTATTAAAAAGAATTAATTTGTTAATCTTCCCCGCTATTTCGCTTACAACAAAATGTTTGTTAGGTGTAAGTACGTATTATTTCGAAATTATTATCGTGAGTTCAATGTTTCACTTGTGAAATACGTAATTTGTGCGTTTCCTGATCCGAGTATAATGAGATAGAATTGATAAATTTTTTTCATTCATTTTTTTCTTTAAACGGATCCCATCTACGTTTTGTATCGCGTTCTATATATTCCATGGTTCTTTTGCTGTTCTCTCCTTCTGGTCCATCGATGCCATTACTGCTGTTTTTATCCGTCCTTCGGTGAATCGAGGTTCTCTAATCCTTGAATAATACTGCTGACAATGGACGAGCTTGATGTTGTAGCTTGACGGGAGATTGATTACATTTGATTGCAACTTTCGATGCACTCTCGTTCACGTGTCTATTTATACTCGAGTTCTATTTAACTCCTTAGGGATGAATATTCTAAACAAACTTGTGGTAGACGCAACATAAACAGGAAAAGTAAACAATGTATAGAAATTAGATTTTACTCGGAATTATAATAAATGGTTCAAATCTCATTTTCATCATACCTGAAAAACTGTTTATAATTAAACATGAATAGTAGATAGACAGAACTGCTTAAATCAATCGCAATGTAAACATTTCATTATTTACATACAAAGAAGATGCTTAATTCACTACTGCGGTTTATTTATTATACTCCTGTTCTTAAAATTGTGGATCGATAACCCGTACCCATCCCTGCAGGGTTAATAAATGATTCACATTATTTAAGTATTTATGATATCACGAAACAAAACTTGCTGTTTCAGAATATTTCAATATTTCCTGTAAAATCACCCGCTACAGGCAATCCGTCTAGGGATAAACACTCTGTGCTTAAGATTCAACATGGTTATTAATCGTTAGTTGTAACCATTTTCCTCACCGCCGTTACTCTCTGTTAGATCTAGTAATTTAATTAGAACAGTAATTTCAAATAAATATAACGACGAGTTGTATATCGTATAATAAACCAAAATTTGCTGACCTCTTCGATGCCCACTGGCACTCTGGTGTTTTTTTAAAAACAATTTTTAAGCGAGTGCGCAATCTCTAATCAATGAGATTTGAATACCTAATTATCCAGAAATGTGGTGTTTTGAGCAATTATTCGGGTCGCACATCTCTAAAGCCATCATTAGAACAGAGTATCATGCATAACATTGTTCCACAAATGTCTAAAGTGAGCACCCACTCCGTCGTGTTAATAATTATAAAGACTAATAATGATTTGAGAATATTCCAAAAATAATCTTAATTCTCAATATTATTCAAATTTCTTTCGAGCAAAAGTAACAAATGACTTTGTTTTATTTTTCAGAATTTCTTAAAGTAAGTAATAAAAAGTTCATTGAACAATGAATACGGATATACATTTGACTTATAACTAATTTATACCATTCATATATTCCCGGCATGGTGATTTCGAGTTATAAAGAATGTGTAATGACAGTACACAATACTAATTAAATTGTTACGATGTTTTTTTAGACTTGGATTTTAGATCAAGTTAGAAGAAATTTGAGTGCTATAGTATTGAGATTATATTGCTTTATCGGAGTCTATTATTCATAAAATTCAGTATACATGAATATATGTTTTTCTTCAAGTGTAATAATATTTGCAAATATTTTCTGATATAAATTTTACACGAAATACTGTTTCTTACATTATCATTTAGAATAACTATTACATTTGACGAAGAATGCATATTTGTGTATAGTAAATTTAACGAATAATCTGCCCGATCTTATTCGACTTTTTGTTGTAAATAAACCTAACGAACAGCTGGGTGGGTATCCGTCCATTTCGAGTACAAAGTTTACATATTTGTTTCATTCGTAATTTGACAAATGCGATGTAAGAAAACTCGTAAGGAAATTAATATACGTATACAAGTTTATGGATTAGTGGCGACATCTGTTAGCATTACAGTAAAACAGATGGTTCGAATATGAAGTGTATACATAATTACAAAAATAAGATTGCGTTAAAATAATTTATCATTAACGTAGAGAACTATATCGCAATTACTATCAGCTGTTAACCTGATAAAGGACAGAAAGACTAAAGGAAAGATACGATCCATACAACCAACCATAGAACTAACAATGAAATTATCGTCAGTAGCGTGTAATGTGCTATTCGCAACCTAAAATACAAAATAAAAATTACATTTTGTAACATCGAATGTTATCAATACTTTACCGACCGGTAGTGGTTAAACGTCCTATATAAATATCACCGATCATTCGACCGTAAACACTTTCCTGACACTGGCTCTGTTTTGGTTAAACCTGTCACGCGCGAATACGTATATTCGTAATTAAATCTTAATTCGTAATTAAATCTTAATTCGTAATTAAATCTTAATTCGTAATTAAATCTAAAAAAATTCGTTACCATATGAACCGATTCATAAGTGTCGGTAAGCGTCAAAGACAAGGAGCCTATTAAATAGACCACCAGTCGGTAAATGGTGGGAACACGAACCTTATTAAGAGGCCATCGGTCGGTAAAGCATTCAGTTTAATATTTACCCTTTGTGCTCCACATAATTAAACACAGTTTTTTCTAACACCTCAAAGTCGTGCATAATCTATCTTATGGACTCAAGTTCTGATTATTTTTTAACCGACTTCAAAAAGGAGGAGGTTACTCAATTGGACATATTAATTTTTTTTTTTTTAGGTATATTCACCGATTACGCCGAGATGGCTTGACGAATCGGAATGAAACCGGTCGCATCTTATCTGTACTAATTTCTCAAAAAGTACCATAGATATCGCCATTTAAAGTTTTGTACCATATTTTACGTAGATAATATTTTATCTTAACATTGTTTTTCTGAACGAAATAATTTGCATCAGAATAAATAAAATAGTGAACTGAACTGTGCCATATTTTTTATTAAAGGTTCCTTTAAGAATAGAAAGGAAACTACGAAACTGCACGAACACGTTGTGCTACTGGAGCACAAAGGGTTAGTAATATACAGGGTGTCCCAAAACTCGGGGAGGAGCCGAAAATGGGGGGTAGCTGAGACGATTCTGAACAACAATTTCCTTTGCAAAAATGTCGGATGGGGCTTCGTTAAGGAGATATTAAGCGAAAACCCCGACCAATCAGAGCGCGCGTAGACCGTTGGAGCGGCCGCGGTAGCGAAGGCTACGCGCTAGGTCGATGCTTCGATGCACGTCGAGTCACTTGTTCGCGTGCAAGCGCGGCCGCCAGCGCGTAGCCTACGCTACCGCGGCCGCTCCAACGGTCTACGCGAATCGTCTCAGCTACCCCCCATTTCCGGCTCCTCCCCGAGTTTTGGGACACCCTGTATTTTGAAGGAACTTACCTCCTAAACTTGTAGACTCCTTCTTGTAAACTGTCAGGTGACTCCTTGAACATGTAGATACGTATACCTCTTATATGACGATAACAGTATTCTTCCCAGTCTAGGTTTGTTACGTTAAAATTGAAGATTTTTCGGTCGACGGAATTCAATTTTTGCCATAGTTTCATAACGTTATCGTTCCTAAAATACCATTCCTGCGACGAGAAGTACGATATCACTTTGCTAAATTTATGTATTTTTCTATACGTGTCCATACACCTGAAAAGTTTATTATATTAAAGTACATTAATACAATCCATAGATTGCACTTTGTTACGCACGCAATATGCTTCACATGTATGATACATACATGGGTTTTCGACCAGTGGCGCGTGCAAACGTATCGACAATAACTGCTGGTATTATGTGAAGAACGAAAGAATATATATGATGTGCATAGACACATCTGTTGAGTACAAGCATGTAATGCCATATAGCTTTCGTAGTACTTTGTTCCTTGCAACAGGCTTCATTTAGGTACATAAAGTCACCCCAAGAAAGTGGTTTTTGACACGAGGATACAGAATTATAAATAGGTGTTCTTTCCTCGTCAGGCATAGTCGAGTCTTGATTTGACTTCGCCAATGATCTTCTACACAGTAAAACAATCGCCAATAGTAGTAAAGTTTACACACATTTTTACATTAATTGTAACTTTTTTTTCTATTACTTCAAACTCGCCCTTCTCTATAGTTTGTACTTGTAACGGTAATGGTACTTGTACGAGACAGTTCCAGTTTCAAAATGATGATGTAATTGAAGATTTACCTATTGGCAACATCCCAAGCAGAAGAAATGATATTAGCAACTACATAGTCTGCTGGTATAACGTCTGCTATTTTTTCTGGTTTACAATGTAATGTACGCATCAAACCTACGCCAGCTGCCATTACTACACCTGTCGCTCCATACAAATTATTTGTCCAACCATGAAGTGGTTCTTTATCTGTCGATATCACGATCGAAGGTCGAACGATACATACTGGAAGATCGTTGCTGTACTTTAGTACCATATTTTCCCCAATTGCTTTACTAAAGACGTACGTATTGGGCCATTTATCGAGTAATCTAGAATAATGGAAAGTTCGTAACTTAACACAGATATATTTGTTTACAAATGTTGTTACATATTATATACTTTTTATAAGATGAATATTAAATAGTAATACTTTGATGATTTTTCTCACTCTTTTAAACTGAATCATCGCTACTAAACAAATGTCTTGCATCTGTTGATGATATCGTCATTCTAATTAGACATTTTTTTGATAGCGATGATTCAATTTAACACGTTGGCCGCCATGTCACCCATATATGGGTGACGGTGCTTTTTACCGAAGAAATAAAAACATTAATTTTGAAAATTAAATATCAAAGAAAATGAATTTATATGAAATATTTGTATTTCGGTGAAGTTACAAAAATAAATACCACAACAAATGTTTGACTATGCAGTCTCCAATGGTCAGTAAATAAAATTTAATCGCAGTAGAAACTTTCGAGAGTATTAGTATGGCAGTCAACGTGTTAAAGGAGTGACAAAAATCATCAAAGTATTACTACTTAATATTCATCTTATAAACAGTACATAATATGTAACAGCATTTGTAAATAATTCCTCGTTGTGAAATTTAAATGTATAATTTGATTGTGAATTTAGCAAAAGGTTACGCCGGCCTTGTCCTATCCGTAAAATCCAGTTTCTGATACTTACATGGGAGTGATTTGCTGAAGTATGTCATCGTTGAGAATGTCCAACAATTTTAGTAGCTTGTCACCGTCGATAGGAACATCGTAATATACTTCATCAATGGATTTAGATATACAATGTGAGAATGCGGTCGATATATGTACAAATGCCTGCAAGTAGACATACGAATATAAATCGAACAGTAAAAATTCTAATCGATACCTTCCTTATTATCATTAACCATCACTTCTATTATCAACCATCATTCTTAACGAAATATTTAAAACGTTTTCGATCTACCTTCAGGTTTGACAATTGTTTTGCAAACTGTAACATATATTTCGTACTTTTCACATTGATATTCATCGCCATGCGAAATTTTTCGTCAAACCGAACGGTTGCAGCTGCGTGAAAAATAATATTGGTATTCATCAGTATTTCTTTGCTCTCCTTTGATAAACCGAAATCTTCTTGGGCAGCATCTCCCTCTAACATGACCACTTTATCGAGGAAGTTCGGTTGTTCACTCTTCAATTTATCGTATACCTGTTTACGCATATTATTGCATACATTATCGTTGAATAACGTACATACACGCGTTATCGTTAGATCTACGTGAAACATTGTATGTTACGTACATTTTCGGCGAAATTTTCTTTAAATCTTTCCTCTGAACTTTTCCCCTTTTTCGGTCTGACTATCGTGTACAATACCGCGATATCCGGGCAAGATCTGTAAATATCCATACAATGAACACACGATGACCTAACATGTGAAAATATACAACACGCTCGCATCTTCTTAAGCTCCCTGTATATATACACCTTTAATTGTGCGTCACGAATAGTAATTAGAAAGGAAATACTGTTCATTTGGTACGAACAATGACGGTGCTAAAAATATTATAAAAATTTCACCGATTCTTCATATATCATCAAAAGTAATGTTATCAATAATAATTTGTGAAATACGCCCACGCATATAACTATATTTCATAAATTTACTACATATAGCAGTTGAATTTATGTTTGAACTCCATTCAAATGTGTTTTGATCAAATAAAACCAAGGACAGTGGTTCGCAGTAGACGGTAGACAGAATTAATTATTAGATCAATTCGTCGAATAGATCCATTAATTAAAATATATTTAATAGAGTTTCATAATTGTACGTCATAAAAAAAAAAATGTAGCCATGATAATTGCTATACATTGCTCCATTAGAATTGTAAGTATAGAAGTATTGGCCTACTAAGCACCGGATGTACCTTTTGAACCGTTCATTGAACGTAAAACTGATGTTGCAAATCATTGAAAGATATTACGCATTGAAAGACATTCAGCTAAATCGTTACATGATTCGAAGGACCGGCGTAGACGCTGTAAAAGAAATCGTAATATAACTCGTTGAATGGAATATATGCAGAATTTAATACGGACGTGTACTTTTAAACCCTTGGCCGTACTTTGACGAGTCTAACCGGTCAACAATAAAACAAAAATTCATTAATTCAAATTTTCTCGATTTCAAGCGAGACCTAATCACATGCGAATACTTTTTAGAGGGTGAAGGTGTGAAGGAAGTGCAAGACTCTATTTAATTTTCTTTTTTTTTTTTTTTCAATGAAATTGTATGTTTTTTTACTTGTTTTCTAATAAGACGTTTTAAAACTCGTAGAACGAGACAATGGCCTATGATTACGATCACTAAGGATCGTTATGGTCTTCTACGATAGAAAATAATTTACTTGGGTAAACCTGCCGAACGTTTTAGCGATTCATTCATTTACACACATTCTGCAGTACACGCGATCCGACGCTGGCATTTCCGCGTAAAGCATTGTAATAATGAATAAATATGGAGTCGCATTATGGACACTATACCGATACAGATAGTAAGTCTTTATAAATTCGATACGCAATACGAAGTGGAGTAAGGTTAACAAGATTATTGTTTACTTCGTTTCGCAATCCCGCCACCTTTCCGAGAATATAAATGATAAATTGTAATTTATAAGAGAAGCAATGAAATTTTGCACGATTCAGCTTCAGAATTTTATTACTTTTGTCAGTAGTCGATATTAGAAACGTAAAATATCTGCCGATCGCGAATGTGTTAAGTGTAGAATCCGAAAGTAATTATTTTTCCATTTTCCATTTTTTACATTTCCCATTTGCCCCACATTTCCCTACAATGTAAACGAGTGTTTGTTTACATTCTGTACTTATTAACTATTCGAGGTAAAACTTTTTCATTCGTAATAGATTTTCAATCCTAGGTTATTGTTCATACCTTCTGATTCTCGCGTAGAACATAAATAAGATAAAAAACATAATCCACTTTAAAAATAAATTTGTTCATCACGTCACCTCTAACAAAAGAATTACTGACAACGAACTATGTCCGCTTTGATACCAAGATTGACCTGTTTTAGATTTTTTATTAAAATCTGATCGACAATTTAACGAAATACTAAGTCACTTTTCAAATCACTTCTACTACATTACGATACCTAATTACTAATCGAGACACGTACATAAGCGTATCAAAAAAGTTGAGAATTTCCTTTATAACACTTAAACATCTTAAATCACTGTTCCATTCGACACCTTTTTGATATTGTACTAATTCATGTACAATGTCAAATAGCTCGATGATCTGAATAAACATTGAGCCAATAGTTGTAATATAAAGATATGAAAATTGGTAGAATTTTTGATACCTTGTTTAATACCTTGTCAATTTTCCTTATATCTATGTTTAGAATTTTAATACATAAAAAGATCACCTCAGTAATTTTTCGACGAGTAACTTGCCCAGAAAACCTGTTCCTCCTGTTACCAAAACATTAGTGCCAGCAAAAAATTCGGCGATCTCACTTTTCTCATTCTTTAATTTCACTGTTTCATTGTCAGACATGTCCAGCATATCGTTTAAATACGCATCACTTCCTTCTGACGACATCGCGACGGTGTACCTGTTACATTCGCGTAATACACACGGTTCGGTATAATAATAACATGTAAATCTGCTGGACGCGTAATCAGTTAATGCCCGCTCTTCTTCGCATAATTATCGGAAAAACTGTGGCAATAACATAAAAAAATTACGATCACAATACGTCAATTTGTGGAAAAGGATTTACACTACAATAAAAAGTGACTGGTATAAAAAATATGTATATAATACCCACACTATCGTTATCTTTTAAAAAAAAAAAAAACTGTCACGATGAAGTATATTATTATCTCAGAAATATGATCAATTATTGTTTGTACATTATCTTCTAATTACGCGTATACGTTGCGTTTGATTTATATTATAAAAACTTCATTGTTTTCATGTTCTATTTTTTTTTTTTTTTTTTTTTTTAATTTAGATTAGATAACTTATAAAATAAAATGTTATCAGTTGTAAAGGAAAGAAGGAAACAACACCGTGTTAAAATCGGGGATGAAACGTCGCAACGATAAGAATGTAAGTTTAGTATTTCTTACCGGATCCAAACTATCAGAAATGGTGATTCGCCCGATGTTGATTGAACGAAGTGTAAACTTTAACTGCGAACTGTTCCGAATCCATTCCAACACCTATAGAAAGATATTCACTTCTTCAATGACGTCAATAGGGTTAGTGTCAACCAGTGCGGTAACGCGTAGTGCCACCCCCAAGTCTTACCGTATCAGATTATAGTACATTCTTAGACATTGGTTTTGTTCTAATGTTACAGAAAATTGTACCGAATGAAAATGGGATAGTAGCGACATAAACAGTTAACGAAATTAAAATTATAGTACTAGACGCACAGGGTAAACTCGTTTCTTAAACCTATTTATAAATATAGTTGAACGTGATTAAAGTGAAACTTTGATGTAATAATGCAGAAGTTATAGATAAACGTATATAAAGATATAATTATGAATGGAATAGTACTAAAAAAAAAAAAAAAGAAACAGGACCAGAAGTATTGTTAGCACAAATGTTTGTATGAAAAAATTATAGCATACAGCTCGAAATACATTTTTAAGTTAACTAAATTTTATTAATTTAAAAAGTACTACTCTTGAGACTTCTTCTAGGTCATGAAAGGTAATAAATGATTGACGCAATTTCAACTACTTCTACTTAACTGATGTATTTTAAGATCGATAGTACTTACCCTTTTAGATTAAGTAGCAGTAGTTTAATTACAGTATATCTTAGGCGAATACATACGCTCCTTCAACGCGTACGAGCGAGATTTAAACGTATGATGAATTATTTCAAATTAAATAAAATTTGATTAGCAATTTATATAATCGAATTAATATTACAGCACTAAGATAGATCGTGTTTATTCTACGAATTTATTTGTACTGATACATGCTTCATAAAGAGATATAGTATATACAATGCAGTACATCATGGAATGGCATATATTATAAACAAGGGAAATATACCTATAGAATGAACTACATATAAATACAGAAAATATATAACATCTACCATATTTTTAAAGCACTGCCTGCAGATTAATTACTCCAAACAGTTGGACCAAGTTGATGGCAATAAATCAAGCAGCATTTATTCCTATCTTATCTGTGTAACATTCTATTGTTCGTTGTTGTCGATATTTAATAAAAATTGTTCTAACATGATTTGATATTCTTAGGATTTCTATTTGGATGATTAAACGTGAAAAAATATTATAAAATATTCTTGTTCGTATATTTTACAAATCATAAAGTGTTACGCAATTTTCTTTTTCGTGTACAAAATAAAGAAAAACAAACGCACATTATCTATAATTAAGTTTCTATCCGTTATCTTTGACAGTGCCCATATTTTTAACGCACAGCGTTTTTTCTTTTATTATTTATACACAATTAATATCTTATACCAGCCTTTCAATCATTTCTTCAGCAAGTATACAATTTAATACATTAACATTTAAAATCAATTTGAAACATGTAAATATTAAAGGGCTAGTATAAATAAAATATATGATTCCTTTAACACGCGATAGAAAGTAATACACTTAATCATCTTGTAAAATACTTAAAGGATCCTCGCTAATATTTTCAGCCGTTTTCTTTAGATCCCTCGTGACAGACTTTTTTATAGTCGAGCGTATCTCCGTTTGCTTCACTCTTGGTTCGCTCGTAGACGATTTTTTTCCAAAAATATTACCGTCGTCGTCATCATCATCAGAAAGAAACAATGATTTCGGCGTGCCAGCTTTCTTCGGGATAGATTTTGTAGCAAAGATATCGTCTTCTCCGCTAGATTGATCAGCGAAAATGTCCGTTATGTGCGAAGTCTTTACAGGTTGGGTACTACTGGGAAATTCGTTTTTATTCGATTTCTCTTGAACACTTCCAGAATCCGACTTTTGCGTTACCTCAGATTGATCAAAAAACAAATTAGCATCGTCACTGTCATCGAATAAACTTATTTTCTTCCTGGGTTGCTGTACAGAGTGCTTATTTTCAGTGTCAGATTTCACCGAAGATTTCTTTACGATGGAGCCAAATAAATTGTCATCTTCATCGTCTTGGCCGTCGTCATCGAACAAGCTGATTTTTGTATCCTTCAAAGGTTTCTTTACAGGTTTGGACAAAGATGCTGAGAACAAATCACCTTCCGTATCGTCGGCAAATAAGTCCAACATTTTTTTCTTCGCAGTTTGTTCTTCGGGTGGTCTTTTAACACCGCTAGAAAAAAGACTATCATCCTCGGAGAATAGCAAACTTTTACCCTTCTCCGGGGATGGCGTTTTCGTTACGAAGGCGAACAGTTGACTCGGATCTTTCAAAGGATCGTGGCTGCTGTCTCGCAGCGGATCTGTCATTTCTGTCGGTTCATCTTTGGACTTATCGTTGTCGAGCTTATATTCTTTTTTACATGAATCCGTAATATTTATATTAGAATCAGTGTTGGATTCAGTCGACGTGCTAAGCTTGCTATCTTTATCCGATGAGGTACCTTTTTCTGAAGCTGTATCCGTATTGTCTATTTTTTTAATATGAGTATCCTTTAATGGCTTAAAATTAGTGGGAGCCTTTTCAAGAAAAACTCTATCCACTGGCGAAAGAATAGGAGCTCTACCAAACAGAGTATCTTCCTTTTGCGGATCCTCCGGTAGATCAGGCGGCACGTCGAATAAATCTTCTTCATCGGTAGATGGAGACAGCAAAGTGTTCTTGTTAGCGCTCATAGAGCTTTCTTTACTTATGCTACCGAGTTCAGATTTATCGTCCGCTATCAAAGACATATTAGGATCCGCTAATCGATGAACGTTATCGGTAGCTGATGGAGCTAAACGATCAGAACTCGTAACTGTGGTGTGCGGTATGTTAACATTTGTAGAACTGGATGACTCTTTATTATGACCAGTCGATGATCGATTATCATAATTTTCGTTTTGTGAGTTATTTCCCGAGCCATCCACGGTATCAAAATCGATTCCACTATGTCTGAGGGCAGTTTTTCGTGCATGCCTACTCTGTGGTCGACGTTTTGCTTGTATTCTAACACGTGTCTGGAAAACAAAAATTAAAAATAAAAGCCCAACGTTATATATCTAAATTTATCGATTGCGACGATTACCTTTGAAGCTGCAATAGACAATGTTTCCACTTGAGCAGGCTCATCGAAGCTAATAGCACTTTCTACATTACTTTCACCCGAAATTGTTGACTGGAGCGAGTGCTTTTGAGCAGTACTGTCTTCTACGGAGGAAATGTGTTTGTTTTATTTAAATACAACAATAATTGATTATTATTGGTACTATGCAGAGTATTTCTAGATAGGTATCGCAGCTTGCGTTAAGTGTTACAAATTTTCTGCCAAATTGTCCCCTAAGTTTTTAGAAAGATTACATGTTCCGTTACAATATTACTAGTAAAAAATAATAAATTATAACAAAAAAAATCTTTTCGGATTCTATATAAACAATCACAAAGCATAGACATTTTACGTTTCCTCTATCTCCTACAACGTAGTGACACTTATCTATAAACACCCTGTATAAAAGAAAATGTAAATATAAAGCATCATTCGATGCAAATAGTATACGCTACCAGATATACTTGGAGGCGAACTATGACCTTGCGTACTCATACATCCGCCATCGTCACTATCTCTATCCGCCGCGCTATCTTCTTCGTCTGTTTTCTCCTCGCTTTTCCTCCACAACGGTGGTGTATCCATAGGAGAAAGTATTTTCAAATCGCCCATTTTACCCACCAGATTCTTTATTTTACCGGAACATTTAACAGTGACTTTAACCTTTTTACTTTCCTCGGACGGCGGCGACGACGTAGTTCTCTGAATATTCAACGACTTCGGAGGGCTCTTTTTCGATTCAACGTTCTCCGAAGGGTTAACTTCCTTCGAAATAACTTGACCTACATCCTGTTCGCTTTCCTGTTCCGTTTTACTCGACGTGGCAACGGGAACGTCGCTTGTTTCTGGATTGTCCATAAAGATTTTAGAATCGATCGACGTCTCGGTATCTTCTGCAGATGCCTCGCCAAACATCCCGTCATCTTTAACATCTGATGCTGATTTCTCATCCTGTTTGCTTCCTCTCGCGCTCTTACTGCTGAACAGGTCATCGTAATCGTCGTCTTCGAATACCAATCCATGCGAACCGGTGGTGGTAGAGAACAATCCATTACCCGATAGAATATCGCTACCTTTTCTTTCCGTTCGCCGAGCAGACATATCTTCATCGACATCACCTATCCTCGATGCGATAGCGTCTACGCATATTTTAACGCTCGGTTGTTTCTCATCAGTCACGTTCTTGACCGAGAACAAGTCAGTCTTATCGTCGTTGCTGAACACATTGACTTTAGTCTCGTTCCTAAGCGGCTTCACGGAGAACAGATCACCGTCGTCGATATCCTCGCCGTCGTCAAACAGGCTAATCTTCTTCGGCGCGACGCTCTGTTGTTTCTCTACGTTATTATTATTAGGTATCGCGTGTTGAACGTTGCTCGAAAAAAGACCGTCCTCCGAGCTGTCTGGAAACTTCCGACCAGGATAACTATTCGTTTGCTTCGCTGATTTCGACGCTATACCGAAGATATCGACATCCGGCGAGTCTTTGCTGCCGAATATGTCGATGTTCTCGTCGAAGAGGCCTCTTTGCTGGGCGAATTTCGATTTATCCGGATGCTGAGAGACGGTCGTCAAGAAATCGGTGCTCTTCTGCGATCTGGAGCCGGAACTGGTCGTGGAGAAGAGCTCGTCCCCGGAATCGGAGTCGTCGAACAACGACTGCACCTTCGTTTTCACTGGTTTCGAGTTCGCTTTCGGCAAAGGCGGTGGACCGAACAGATCCTCGTTCTCGAATACATCGTCTTGTCGTATGGACGAGGTGTTCTCGATCGGTTCCTCTTGCGGCTGACTGTTGGTCGAATTTGAAATCGTCGCGTTTACGGGATTGCGGGTACGCGCTGTGAAAAGGCTGTCGCTGACTACTCTCTCGCGATAGATCTCCTCGGATTTTAAGCGAGACGACGTCATCAGAGGCTGGAAATCGACACTGGAAAGAAATACGAACATTCAGACAGAGAAACGTCGATTGAACATCACTATTTGGAATTTCGGATTCAGATTTTATTATTTATCAAATTTCTGTCTTGTACCGGACGACACGACAATGTATAACAAAAAAGAAACAAACTTTAATTCCGGTCGATTTATTTTTCGTGCGATTTTTTTTGTACGAGCATCTCTTAAAGTGGTTTACAACTGAAAGAAAACTGAATAAGGTTCAATTCAAATATTTCTGTCTGATAATACATTGATTATCAAGGCACAACTGTTTTTTTAATGTCCACTTGATACTTGTTATACAGTAAATAATAGCATTTGATTAGCGTTTCGTTAAAACGGCAAGTACTCAGGAATATGACTGATATTAATACACGATGTTATGGTTTTAATAAGTCTTTAAGGTGTTTGCATTTCCACCTTATGTATTTACATTTACAGTCGATTATCTCAAAAACTAACAATGGAAGTTCTTATTTTTTCGTTGTAGATCTCATGGAGCCCTATATAAAACATACAGAAAGTTTTTCTCTAAACTGAAACCCAAGTTTTTGAAAATAAAAGAAAGATTTGTGTTAGTAATATTGAAAGCCTCGTACGAAAAACCGTTATTACATGTTTTCGAGTTACTTTCTTATTCGCTATCATCCTCTTTCCGCGTGTACTACGAGTTACCAAGCAACAACTACATCGTTGAAATTATGCATAATTTCATATAGAAGCTTCGTCGAATGCTTCATTAAATGTTTCTGGTTAAACAATTTTAGTTTTCTACCTGGAATTGGTGAGGCATGCATGATTGCGTTGAATTGTAAATTTTGAATATAAATTAAACAGAAACAGGTTGAAGCATTGGAGAAAAACGGTTAGCTAATGAATGAATTAAATTATCCTTCGAGACTGTAATTGTGTAAACACACCCGTAATACTTCTAAAATTCTGAGTAACAGTTGGGCACGTATGGAAATGCAAGCGACTACGCAAGCGTTATGGAAGATACAGGGGAACTTAGGTATAAAAGGGAAACATGAATAAGAACGATGAAGCAGTAGCTTTGGAAAGTTAAGGAGATCGAGACGTACGAGTTAACGTATCAACATGAAGAACATCGCCTTGTTTACATTTTGTATTACAATGTGCTTGTTACTTGAAGTGCAAGGTACGTTTCTTTCCGTTCGAGTTATCCACAATAACGATAAATAGTTAAAAAAAAAAAGAAAACATAGAGTATTTAGAAATGTATAGTACACGTTCGCTACCGCGCATTTTTTTTGTTTTCTATTTTAAATAGAAAATATTCGACGTATTCAATTGATCTATTTAATATACTGTATTACTATTAATAAACTTTATTAAATTTTATCAAACATTTCATGTGTTTTACAAAAATTATTTCGACTATAACGCGGCCTGTAAAGAACGATCTTCCGACTAAATAGTGATAGCGAATCTGTTACATTCCATTTGTAAAATCTCTACTTTTGTAGGTCTCTTTACTTCAGTAAATGTAACGAAAACATTAAATAGATAAAAATGAATAAATACCCTGTATATGTAATTTTGTATGTACAGGGGATTGCAAAGGTTATCAAGGCAAGGATCTCAGTGTGGGGACACATTACATAAATTGCCTTCAGATTACGTGCAACGCAGACGGATCCATATCCGCACTCGGGTAAATCATACGATTCGAACATTTTAAAATAACGTTTACTCGTTAAACGCCGAGTGAACACTCTGCGTTAAGTTTCGAATACATCGCGTCCCGTCTCCGCGAAAAAATAAATTTCGTCGCGCACGATCGATCACTTATAGATATTCATCCAATTACTTATCAGACATTTCAATGTTTAATACTGATAAGTATTAATCGAGTAATGCCAACAGTTCAGTATTGAACGCTACGTTAACTAATAATCATAAAAAAAATAATTGAACTTTTTAGTTGCCCAGCATACCAATGCGCAGAAGGATCGCAAATTGGATACCGTAAAACGGATTTAAGCAAACCTTACCCGGAATGTTGCGAGGGACCAATTTGTGCGGATTAAACTTGGATGTAAACGACGAGTAATATGAGGGAGGAGGGGGAAGAGTACTTGGCCTAATGATGACATTTTAGATAAAACAATACAAAGTTAAATAAACCTGAACTATGAACCACGGCTGTGTCACACTCACTTGATATTGTATAAGTAATATAAATGCGAACAAAAAAATAAACGATGATAAAACGTACGCGTGTGAGGTACAGACACGAGATGAGATACACTTAAACTGAAGGCGCTCGCCTTGAAGCTTGAGCCTCAACTCCACACAATCACTACAACGCAATGGAGGATGACTAATGTTTGGATCATCAATTCAATGACACTTTAAGTATTTGGCACGCGTACCCGTTCTTGTATGCGCGAAAAATAAATACGACGTTGATTTTTATTGATACTTCGTAAACATAAAACTGAATATTCGATTTGTTCGATTTATATGTAAGCGATGCCGTTTATATGATTAAAAATATGTTAATAATTGAAAAATATTGTTAAAAACTTTAAAAATGGTAATAACAATAATACTTACTCTGAGCTCGAACCTCCAGTGTTATTAATACTCGATGGACGGATCGATATCCCGCTGCTCGTACTACTTTCGATGTGAGCGGTTAAATTGCCCGCGTTATTCCTTGCCATGATGGAACTTTGATTGTTAATATTATTATTGTTCGAAATAGTATTTCGTAAATTGTCATCCACGGACACCTGACTGTCGTCGAAATTCCCTGGTATATCACTGCCAGAAGATTCGGATGATTGAATGCGCGATATTTTGTTCGCTAATTTACTCTCAATACTTGACGATAAAATATTTCCAAGTATTGATACTCCTGCAGGTTTCTAAAATGTTTAAAGGTTATTCATTTCATGGAAATCCTTAAATATTTGACAAAATTAGCTTTACGAAGCGTAGATATTAAATTTAAATCTTACTATCTTATTTGGTGGTTGATTTTTAGACGGGCCGAAAAGATCGCCGTCATCTTCGTCGTCGCTAAACAAATTATTATTATTTATGTTAGTTTCTGGTGTACTTGTGACCCTCTGACTAGTAACCGCTGGTGTTACAGTACTCAAATATTTCTTTTGCGCACTTTCTGTTATCTCTGAGTGATTGTTGCTATTTGTATGTTTATTTTTCGTAATAGTTTTCACTGTATTTTTTGACGAGAAAATATTATCGGAATCTTCGGAATCGGCATCGGCAAATAAATCGTCGATCTCAGATTTCGGATTTACGGCTGAAAATATAAATTATCGTTAATGACTTTTTTTTTTAGAATCTAGTTAAACATATTGTAAAGAATTTAAAATGAAACTTACAAACTGTACTAATCGGAGGTGGTACATCAATACTAGCAGGTATGATGTTATTTTTATATGGTTCAATAGGTTTTTCTTTCCACAAATTTTCGGATGGTTTGTCATTCAAAAATGTATTTCCACTATTTATACTTCTCGGTTTATCGTTTACGATATTCTCATCAACTTCTGGCGTTAATAAATCATCTAAAATATACGATGCTAGCTAAGTACGGACGAGCGACACAAATTATTAGCTTTAACCAAATACCTTTGAATCGATTTATCGACGCTTCACTTCTTTCATCTACAATGGTTGGTTTTTGAGCTTGACGAACTGTACCTAATCGCTTCGCTAATTCTTCTGCAAAATTCGGTGCCGAATTGTTTGCTAATGGTACCTAAACAATTAAATCGACCGTATTTTTCAAATCACGATCCGCGAACAAATGGGTGGAGGTAAACTCTCAGAAAGAAACAAAAAATATATTATACAGTTACATTGAAAACACGCTAATATTTTATTCATATATAAAACCCTCATCGAATGTCAGTAGTAAAAACATTAAAAAAAGAAACGAGTAACTAAGTGTTTAACAAAATTCACAGCAACTCTACTATTATTCGTTCTACTTCTATTAAAATTGACCAGAGACAACAAATTTTAAAAGAAAAATATATAAACAAATATACAAACCTTTGATCCATTATCATTAGGAGTAATTGATTCAGAACCGGAATGTACATTATTTTGACTAATTACATCTAATTTTTCATTATCCATATATGTTATATCACTTCTTTTACTATAATCTGACCCAACCAAAGAGGGTGACAATCCAGCAATATTTGTTTTTGGAGCAGTATCAATATTATACTCTCTAAATACAGCTCTATCATCATCGCTTTCTGATTCTTCTTCGTCCACTTGTTCTGATTCACTACTACTACTACTTTCTAAACCAATCTTATTTGAATTATTCCACTTCTCAGAGCCAATAACATAAGGTAAAGGCCGATTTTGGTATGGATTATTTGGCCCCAGTACAACACTAAAATTTAATTATACAACATTTAACAAAATTACATTTACAACAAAATTGTTTCAGTAAATTTATTTACCTTAATACTACTTTATCGTCATCTTCTCCTTCACTATCGCTATCAACAAATTCCATCTTTTTATACTTCTCATCCATTATGCTTAGGCCTTGTTTTATACTCTCACTCACACTGGCTATTAAATCTGCTGTTGCTAAGTCTTCATCCTTAGACTGTAGACAAATTTCACAGAATACTACTCCAAAAGTTTAAAATACCTTTTATTTTGTAACCTTTAATTACCTGCACTGAAGTTTCCACCTTTTTCTCAATCTCTATATCATCTTCTTGCACACGGCTCTCAATAAATTGGGTATTAGCCAAAGCTAAGGATGTATTGGTAACATTATCTATAAGTATTGCTGCCTCATTTAACTGACTTGTGAATGCATCTAATGCTTCCTCAGTTTTATTCGCTCTTGATACTACATTCTATCAAAGTAAATAGAAGAATTAATTTTCTATTTGTGCATTCATTATACTGGTTGAAAGATACAGTAAGTCCAAATATGCTCCAAAAAGAAAAAGATTAGTCAAAGATTGAGCAGAATATGGTACTATAAGTAAAGAAAATATGTTCAAAAAAATATCTAACTCGATATGGTTCACAATTTTTTTCATGATTAATCACCAATTTCAGATGTACAATGTCCAGACGTACTGCTTCATGATAAAGAAAATTTAAGGAAAGTTTATTTATTACATAAAGAATAGGGAATAATGGAAAGTACAATCATAGTTATAGGAATCCATGTAACTCAAGACTGTGTAATTCGAGGACTTATTATATGTGTCACATATTTAAATTATACCTCAGAAAACTGCTGAAGGTGTTTAAGAAGTCCTGCATCGGCTGCCAAACTCCATTCTCTTCTTTTCTTTCTCATTTCCTCGGTTGTCCATGGATGATCCCATGATTTATCCATCCCATCTGATATGTCCTAATATATAAAATTTTATGCAGCTATATTTAAAGCTGTTTAGCATACTCTATTACACACTTAATGAATTTAGTAAAAAATAGTACTGGTCGTGCAACAATATGTTTCCAATGTGGAGAAAGTACGAATAACTTGGATACTTGTTTATATTTGTTAACCTTAAAACGACTCTTAGAGTAAACGTCAATTTTTTTAAATAGTTCCAATACATACCATACCACTTAGTTTGATTAGATATAACAAACTATTACTTTCCTACTTAATTACGTTTACATGTGTACAGTATTTTTTATCAAACTTAGTAAAAGAAAAAAACACCCACTCAGCAATTGAGATCAATTGATATTATCAACCAGTGTTCGGTGCTGTCAACTGTCACCATATGATTTAATTCATACCTTCAAAAGAAAAGTTTCAAGAATGCATAAAAATTAGAGACCTCTATTTTATGGAATATTCTTTATTAATACATTGGTATTTCGGAAATATATAGAGCCCTACTTAAAGTCTTAGTAAAATTAAGTTAAAACTAATAATTTTCACAAATTTTTTCAATACACATTGCTTATTCAAATTTGCTAACAAGATATAATTTTATTATTTTTCAGTCACATCTGCAATGATTTATATTTCTTCTCGTTACTATTTTATTCGATCACATCTTTAAATAATTTATAGCACGTTAATACGTTTTACTTATTATTAAAGGTACATGTACTCGATTACAAGCAAAAGGTCCGTTTATCGGAAGATACAGCACTGGTATGTGCAATGTTGCCAAACCGAACAGTATTTTGGTGGCCATAGTATACTGGTATACGTATCAGTTCTGATTGCAGCGCACTGAATGCTACTGAATGCGTCTGAATGCGCTCCATGCACTCAATGCAATGCATGAAACGGAACGCACCTTATAGTTATCTACTTTGTGTCAATGATAATATTTACGTTGCGTGTAGTACGAATCATGCATAATAATTTTCCTTAAAACAATTATAATTACAATTTATGAAGAGAAATCAGTTGTACAATATGTCTTTATCAAGTTGTACAGATAAAATCAAATATATTTATCAATTGCCAGTTTTCGAGCGAAAGGAACTTTGCAACATACTTAACCAAAATGATAAATGGGAAGAGCTTGCTGGTAAATTATTCATAAACAACGAGATGTACTTTTTACTTGATAAACTGAGTAAGGTGACAATTGTTTACAGGAATATGGATGGAATATGATATGTTGACGATACAATGTTTGCGGAGGGAAAAAAATCCAACAGATGAATTATTAACAATGTGGGGCCATTATAATCATACAATATTGGAATTGTTTGTTTTGTTATCCAGAATGCAGCATTATCAAGCGATGGTACCATTAAAACCATTTGTTGAAGCTAAATTTCATAAATTACTGTATAATGGAGAGGGTAACCTTCAGAAAGTACTTGGAAAACGACTCAATAAGAACACTAAAGATTTAAAGATAGGCACGCAAAATTTCAATCAAGTTATACCACCAGAACCAAACGTACCAAAAATTGTTATCAAACCGAATTCTAAAGAGGAATCTCATAAAATATTAAACCAACCAATGCAAGCTATGCAAATTGGAATTACTCCAAGCAATTCGAATAACTTACTTGTTGCTTCTCAGGCAGGAGCATATCCTTTACCACATTCTATACAAAATGTTCCAAGTGATAAAAAGAATAATGATGTAACAATTCCACGTACAGAAGCAACTCTACCACATGCTACTTATAATGAATTATCCGTAGCTACAAATGAATGGAATAAATACAATATATTAGGGAAAGGTGGTTTCGGAACTGTGTATAAAGGTAATTGGAAAAAATAGGACTATCAATTTATTAATTATTAAGTTTATTATGTATGAACTATATTAATGTTACTATTGCATAGGGACTTGGAAAAATACAGATGTAGCTATTAAAAAGATAGAGAAAAGAGGACCCGATTCAGATGAAAGTTATATACTCCAACTTCAGCAATCGCTTAGAGAAATAAAGATTTTGAATTCTTGTCCACATGAAAATATTTTACCATTGTATGCATACAGTTTAGATGGCAGAGCACCTTGTCTTGTGTATCAACTTATGAAAAATGGATCTTTAGAGGATAGATTATTAGTGAAACAAAAGAGCCAACCATTAACTTGGATACAGCGTCATGAAATTGCTAAAGGAACTGCACGTGGTCTACAATATTTGCATACAATTGGAGGGAAACCTTTGATACACGGTGACATAAAAAGTGCTAATATTTTACTCGACAAAAATTTTGAACCTAGAATCGGTGACTTTGGCTTAGCAAGAGAGGGTCCCGAGAGAGATTCCATGAAAGTAAGTATTTTATTTAATAAACATGTTGTAAATTAGAGGAATAAGCTTTATTATTTATTTATAATGTGTTTTATTAGGTAAGTAAAATTCATGGTACTAGACCGTATCTTCCAGAAGAATTTTTACATGGCCGAAAATTATCAACAAAGGTAGACACTTATAGTTATGGTATTGTTTTGTTTGAATTGGCTACTGGTTTGCCGGCTTATGACGATTCTAGGTTGGAAAATAAATTTCTGAAAGACTTCATTGACAGCTGGGAAGACAGATATCTTCCTTTATTAATAGATAACAAAGCAGGTGAGAAAGACAAACAGGTTTATAATAATTTAATGTTTTTGGGAAAATGGTGTACTAATCATATGGCACAAAATAGACCTGAAATGGATTATGTGTTCAAGAAATTGAATGACTTATAATTTTGATATTATGTTTGAAATTGTAATGTATATCTTATTATATCGGTACATATTTTTCTTATGCAACAAACTATTAATGATTCCTATGGAATCTTTCTCTTGTTAAATAGTATGGCTTGCACTAGTTTTGTTATAGCTATAGAGTTTGTAAATATCTTTTTGGTAGGATAAAGTTTAAGTTGCGCTTTGTATAAGCTGATATTTCATTTTGTAGTATTTACATTTGATCTGCACATGAATTTACAAAAAATGTATACATTTTAACATGTATTTTGTAAATAATAAAAATATTTTGAAATAAATGTACAAAATACCTATGATAAAAAGAGTGTAAATATGATGGTGTAGTAGTTTTTATTAATTAAATATTAACATATTACTGTATGGACATTTGGAGGACATATGTAACAAATTAGATTTTAAATTTTTATTATTAAATTGCAATTGCTTATCAAATATTTTCTGAAATTTGTACAATTATAGTGTAATGCTACATTTATATCACTATTGTGTGATAACTGACATATGATTTGAATGATATTGTGATAATGAAAAAAATAATACAGAAATGAAATGATGGTATTACAATTTTTCCTTCTATATTTAGGATGACAAATGAGAATAGATACAATGTTTTTTAGAATCATGAAATACAGATCCCTTATAAAATGGCTTAAATATTATGCAACCTTTTATTATTTTCTAACAAAAAACATTATCTGCTTAAGAAACTTAAGATATTGATCATAATATTATTATAAAACATATTGTGTCTTCTCTCGAAAAAATCATAAAATCTAAAAACATGATAGTAATTTAAAATTCTGTAATATTAAAAATCGATTTCTATTAAAATTTCTAAGCTGTAGTACTATAAAAATCCGAAAACCAACTTTGACCATATCGATAATCATTACTTTTAGATTTTTAGTTTTCATGGTCGTACAAATAGTAGTAATACATATTGTAAGTTCAAAGAGTATAGGATAGAGGAGAAGTAGCCCATAAGAGTCAATGTTAAAATATAATATAAGTTTCACCGCCTGTGGTGAATCAGGCCTATGAACCGATCCTAAATCGGCGGCAAAATTCAAGAAACACTGAAGATTTCTTGAACTTTTACAAATTCTCTCCACTGCTTTCGTCTGTAATTCATTACATTACAATAAAATACTTTTTTTATAATAATATGTAATCACTTTATTAATATTAAATTATAAATTTTGTTACACATAATATAATTAATTTAATTTTAATGTACTTACATCAGTAAATTTGTTGGTTCAGTGAAGAACGAATGGTTTTTATTTTTGTTTCGAGTTCTAAGGCGACCTTTTACGCGACAACGAACCATTTTTTGTTTGTAATTTCTTTTATTACTTACAATAATTTATTGGCTAATAGATATAATCAAACCCTTTGGATATAACGCACGTTTCAAATAGACGCAAGCCCTAAGTCTCCAACAAACTCAATAGTTCAGAGCCTGAAACTCCAATGGTCACTTACATTCATACTGCTACTTTTCCTCTATCCTATACTCTTTGGTAGTCTTTTCTTTTCAACAAACAACAATATTCGTCTGTTGTCATATTCGAATATTAGCTAACAACAGTTACAACAATACGAGGCACAAAATTTATTTTTTATAATTTCTAAAATTGTTGACTTATTGTTAATCAAAGCACTGCACTGACGTACTTTTTAATGCGCATAAGCGAAAATTCAAATTCAAATTCAAATTCACATTGTATCCTGAATTAGGAGGTTTTAAAAAAACCGGTTTTTCGTGAATTTTTTTATGACGAAAAAAAAATAATTAATTCTATCAAACTTTTTATCTTATTTTCATACATATTTGAGTAGTCTGTACAAATTTTTTCAACAAGAAATATTCAAATTGAATCGACTGCGACGCACATTTGTAGAGAACCTCGCAATTCAAACCTCCTATCGATATCGGCGGGAAAGATGCAGGTCGTAATTTTGATTTGACACAAAAAAACCAAAAGAAATGTTCATTTTCATACATTTTTCATCTATGTAAACCAAGAAAATTCATACAAAAAAAATTTTAAACAACATTTGTTAAAAGTTAAAGCGATTTTTTTGCACCCAAAGAACTCGTTCTTTTGTTCAAACTTGCAGTAATTTCACATTTCACCATTCTTGCGGAGTTTCCTAAGGTTCACATAGATAAAAAATGTATGAAAATGAACATTTCTTTTGGTTTTTTTTTTTTGTGTCAAACCAAAATTACGACCTGCATCTTTCCCGCCGATAGAAGGTTTTAATTGTGAGGTGTCGGCTCACTTTGGATATTTCTTGTTGGAAAAATTAGTATAGACTACTCGAATATGTATGAAAATAGGATAAAAAGTTCGATAGAATTAATTATTTTTTTCCATCCTAAAAAAATTCACGAAAAACCGCTTTTTTTTAGACCTCCTAATTCCGGATGCCCCCTTAATTCATTTAGTAACACTCGAATTAATTCTTTTAAGTTCTCAGTGGAAAACACTGGCTATCCGTACTTGACTGGCGTGGCAGTCGACGTGTTACCTTGGATAAGTTACTAGCTTGATTAGATTTTCGTACTTTGCGCGGAATTGCATTGCATTGAAATATTGAGTTCAACTAGGAGGTCCAGGATGAAACGCGGTAATATTGCTCTACCAAAATTACCCATTATTGAGTCAGAAACTGATCACAAGGCTATATTAATTTCTCAACTCGATTTTGGTTTTGCGCTTTAAGGCCCCTGTATAGGCGCGAAGCACACGCTAAACGTGTCAGCTGGCCCACCGTGCGGTCTGGGTCGAAACACACCGTAATAACGTCCTGGGAGAATAATATTGATCCATAAAGAGAATATTTTTAGCACGAAACCCTGAATGTGTACCGTAACGCAGAATACCTTGTACCTCCGTATTCAGAGCCTGTTAAAAGTAGACGAGAGAGCATAGTCATCTGTTCTTCTCGCGGGAACTAACGTACTCGTGTGCTCCCATTATACTCCTTATCGTTATCCTCGTTTTCCTGCGTACGCGTGTGCGTGGTTCATTTTTTTTATGAATACGTAGACAGTTTTCGTTATTTTTAACGTCGCAATACGTTTAACTTTGAGCCTCGTATATACTTGCTAGACAGTCGATAACTATGGAAAAAGATCCGTTCTGGATGTGATCTTCTTGATGGCTGGCAAAATACGCATCGTCGTGTACTGTCCGTAGTTCAACGGTATCCTTAAATCGGTGCTGTCCCTTCTCTCGGTTTGAAGCGATTTCTGTTGCTGATTGATGGCCCACACCAACGCTGGTATCGATAATCCAGTCATCGTTACCCCTGCGATCACCAGCAACCAGATCATCACTGTCTGCACTAAAGGCGCCACGTGAAGAATCAATTTCATTCCGACCAGCATATTGTTCGGCAACGAAGGTATGGACTGTGAACAAATTTACAACGATTTATTTATTTGTCCAAGTAAATGATTCAACGGAGAACTTGACACGTCAGGGTTCCATCAATCATCGATAGTCAACATTTCGTATATTTATCGATCTATAAAGCGTCGGTTTAAGCGGATAGATGGTGCCTTTGTTTACAAATAAGTAATAAGGAAAAGTAAACAAAAGTAATTGAAAATATAGCAATTGGGTGGATTATTAATACTTTACCGACTGGTAGCCTTTTAATTAATAGGCTTCTCGCTAGGACAACCAAAACTTTGTTAACTATTATTAAAATAACATTTAATGCTCTCATCGTTATACAGTGCGAGGCGTTTGAAACAGGTCGTCTGAATAATTCGCTTACTTTTAGCAATAGAAGAATAGTGTCAAACAAGAGTTGTTTGATTTCGCGGGGCACGTAACGTGGTAGCAATCATCTTTTTCTATGGGTAATAGTACCATTTTTTTTTTTTTTTTTTTTATAATTAGTTTATAATTTCGGTCTTTAAAACATATCGAACTATCGGCAACTTCATATATTGCACTTTGATTTAAATTGAAAAAATTCGCGGTGAAAATCTGTATGTTCCATAAGAAACTGCGTTAAAATTACAAATTTTTTATATCGTTTTTCATAAAATGAACTGGTGGTCAATTTAAATCGTAATAGGCTCGTATTCATTCAAATTTAATCGAATAACAATCAAGCGAAGTTTTGTTAAAATTCTTCATTGAATAAACGATAACGTTACAAAGGATAAGATTCATGGCCTGCTTGAATTCATCAAAGAAATTAAGATTGGTAATATAATAATATAAGTGAATTTTAACTAGGTTAATTATGCATTTATGCAACGTTAATAATAATAATAAAAAAAAAAAGATTGTTGTGTCATATGAAGCAGTTTTTTCTAAAATCAGTAATTGATACATTACTTCAGATGACGATGACTATCGATTTTGCTTATGTATACCTACATACAGGGTGTCTAAGATCAACTGTTATAAAGCTATAACTCCAAAACTATCGGCCGTATGCAAAATTGCAAATATGGATATTGCAAGATAAAATGGGGCTCATGTTTCAGGGAGAAGAAATTTTTGTTAACTTTCTTATTTAACGAGATAGTCAAGTTTCGTTTTTCAAATGGAACTGTATATTCTTTCTGATACCAAGCGATAGTACTTTTCAAGCCGACCCGATTTTTATTAGTTTTCAAGTTATAACGCTGCAAAGTTTGCTAATTTTCAAGGAAAAAAACTCGGTCAGGCTCCGAGCGGTCCCATTGATGCGGTAAGCACACCATGCGGTTCTTGAAATCGATACAAAGGAAAATGGGAAGAATCCCAATATTCTGGGCCTAGAATCCTAAACGAGACCGTCCGTATCGATTTCAAGAACCGCATGGTGCTTACTGTATCAATGGGACCGCACGGGGCTGAACCGAGTTTTTTCCTTGAAAATTAGCACACTAATAAAAATCGGGTAAATACATCAAAGCTTAATGAATTCGTCTTGAAAAGTACTATCGCATGGTCTAAATAAAAATACATAGTTCCATTCGAAAAACAAAATTTGACCATCATATCTCGTTAAATAACAAAGTTAACAAAAAATCATGAGCCTCATTTGACCATGCAATTTCCATATTTGTTGCATTCGGACGATAGTTTTGGAGTTAGAGCGCTGTATCACTCAGGCTGCGACACCATGTATATTAAGTCTTCCAAAAGAGGACATTAGGTTCCAAAGAGTGTGGTGTATCCACCCTTTGAACGCGAATAAGCCCTCTTTCTTTTTGTAAAATATTGCATATTGCGCCTGTAACGACATTTGCAGCCGAAGAACCCATAAAATCTTAGTATGTCTCGGATGATGATATATAGTTGAGAGTGATAAATTGACGACCTGAAAACCATTTGATGCGGAGAAGGACGGTCGTTAACTGTCGAAGCGTTTGATTTTCAGATGGAGGCGTAAAGGAGATCTCATGGTCAACTTCATCTCTTTAAAAGGAAGGTTGTGTCATTTGTGAAACAAGTTCAATGACTCGCTGTACAAGGTCGTCGACAATCAGAAATGTATAGCAGGAATTACCTTGAAAGCGTACCGTGTATAGTCGATGAAGGAAATATAGGGTATCAAGAATGGGGGAATGCCAGTCTGAGGGAATTTTTTGGATTCACTGGAATTTTCATTCTTCAACACGTTCATCGTCACGTCAGCCATATATGGGTGACAGTGCTTTTCACTGAAAAACTACGAGAATTCATTCTGAAAGTTAAGTGTCGCAGTTAAGTGAATTTAAATGAAATACTTGAACTTTGATGAAGTTACACAACTAAATACCACAATAAGTGTTTCATTACGCAGTTTCTAATAGTCTGTAAACAGAGTTTAATCACAGTAGAATATTTTAAGAGTATTAGTCTGACAGTGAACGTGTTGAAGGGTTGAATCCGTCGAGTGACAATTATAAGGGAGAAAGTAGGTATCGAGAAAAGTGTGTAGTTAAGAGTGATGAGAATCCTGGACTTATTTATAGTAGAGAAGTTAATGAGCTTGGGTTCAGTCTAGGTCTAACGATCCATGCATTTGTAATTTGTAGTGAAATATAAAGAGATGATGGAATTGAACATTCTTCAAAAGAATGTAAGATACAAGAGGAAAATAAAAAATGAATTGGGATGGCTAGAAGCATTTGGATATTATTTTAAAAAAATAATAGGAAAGGGAAGGAGGGATTGTAAAGTATGTTGTACTGTAAAATATTTCCTACTCCTTAGGAGGATATAAATAGAATTATTTAATTCATCGGGCCTCGAAGAGGCCCCAGCCTGGGACTTCCAGGCTGTTGCCACCGGTTCGCTAACCTGTTGGGGAAAACCCATTTAGCAGCTTGTACGTGCACCCAAGGAGGATATCGCTTCGAGGGGTCTTCTTCGCGTTAAAATGTCTCATAAAGTCGGTCATCGTTCATAATTATGTTAGAGAAAGTATAAACTAGGCTTGCCTGAAATTATGCGTGCGACTTTATTGATTATCCGACACGATTTTAGAATTGTTACAGCTAGAAAATACAAGTTCTATCGCATTGACCATACTCGCGCTACATACTTGGCTCGCGCGTCTCGAGATCCTTCAAGTCACTCATCAAAATTGAATTATGGCTCGTATGGAATTCTTGGTTCGCGAATCTATTTTTATAAAACTGAGATGAAAACTGGCGCCACAAAAGGTTTCAGTTTTACGATCTTCTTATTGACGTATTTAAATTAAAAGATACAATAATTAAGTTACATAACCGATTGTTTTCTTTTGCCATTTATGGAAGAGTAATGTCTGACTAAGCCAAGTGAAAAACAAGAGTAGAAACCGCAGGTATGAGGTTCGTAATCCTAACGGCGAGTTCGGCAGTAAGACTTGGGCCATAAATTTTTGTAGCCTTTTCTATCCGAAGTTCCAAACCCGGAACGAGGCGAGTTGCATGATACAGAGTTATGTAATTTATTTGGGGAGCCCGTGATACTTAGCAGAAATTTTCAAGAATATTCGTTTGGCAGGCAACGCGTTAACGTGGTATTTATTTTAGATTTTCTATTTGCATCGAAAATATGAAGATTGCAGTTTTGTCAATCCCCTGTGTTGCAGTAAGAGTTTATTATTCGCTGTTCCTTTTATGGTAAAAGAATCAATGTCTGAAAGGCAAAGATTCACTGCGTAATTGGCAATAGCAAAAGCAGCAAGAGCACTTAATAACTGTAATCATGCGGTGACTCTTTCTCGGTCGGTTGTGGATGCACCAATCGACGAGGATTCGTCGAGTTCTCTCGCGTGTGAAAACACGGGCCAAGAAAGACTCTTAGCGGAATGTTGCTCGGGCGGTTTCACACAAAACAATAACGAAAAATTCAGCGCTCTCGTTCGGAAGCGCAGTCATGTGGTATCTTCATCGTAGTAAATGCCTTATCTCGTCACCTGCATGATTAATGATTCGCCAATATCTTTACTAGGCATCGCGCAAATATTACATATGAAAATTGAATTATCGGCGAAGCAATATCGAGACGAGTGTAATCTGTCACAGAAGAAAGTGTTTGAAGATTTATTACATGACTCTGGAGCAGACCAGGTGCTTAAATATTGATATCTGCTTTTTGAGGAAACATTTCTTGTAATTAACAATTTTTTTTTCTCCAGAAGTTTGCCACTTTGTGGAAATAGATATATTAAAAATTCTTAGCGATAATTATTGCACAAGAGTCTTTTTATGCAGAGCATAATACTCAGATATTTCATTCTGAAAATATAAAAATCAGAATGAAACAAGTTTTCTTTCAATCGAGATAGAGATCCGAAATATTTAAGGGATTTGTTCTTAGTTATTTCAAAGCATCTCAAACCATGGAAGCATTGAATATGCGAAAGTCACCTTTTCAAGAACCACCTTAATCAACATGCATTGGAATTTCATTAAGGAAATAATTAGCACCCCGTCCCAAATTAACTACACTTACCAAATCGGTCCAGAATAATGGTATCGTTTTCCCATTGAAAGCCGAGATCTTGGAGTTGTAGGACGTTGGGTACATCACCAGGTTGATCTGGATTCTGGAGTTAACGTGCATCGGGATGCCAACCGCCTGCGGAAAAGAAGGCAAAACGCGATTGTGAGTCATCGATTCAGGAAAGGCCAAGAAATCGATCATTCTATCCAGAATTGGATGGTTTTTTCTGAGTCATTTTCTGCATCGAAACTGGGTCTTACTCGAGAATATCTGAAAACGTACCAAAACGCTGACGATCCCGTTAACACGTTGAACGCCGCGTCACCCACGTACGGGTGACGGAGCTTTTCACTAAGGAACTTCAACAAACGATTTCAAGGGCTAAGTGTTGATGGAAATTGATCGGGATAGAATTCGTAAATTTTTATGAGAATACAAAAATGAGCAATACGACAAATGTTAGATTCTACAGTTTCTAATTGTCTCGAGACAAAATTTTAGTTCTGTAAACATTTCCATGTGAATACATGGCAGTGAACGCGTTAATCGTTAACGATCAACGCTTCTGGTTTTACGGGCAGCCCAGTTATAATATTATCGGCATTCGATTAGGTAATTCGCAGACGCGGACCGTGGTCGGCTTTCAAATGCGTTCCTCTCGTCTACCCGTGACGTTACTTGTGAAATACTTGGCAGTATCGCTGGTTTCTTGTCGCGGAGAATGTTCTCTTGATAAGAACCCATGGGGGGTTTCAGGTGTTGCGCTCGTTTACATATAGTAAATTTCAACGGCGAACGACAGAATTATTACGAAAGAACAAAGCCGATGTTACGCGACGAGTAAAACGTCGGGTGCTTGGCCAGTTCCGCGTTACGAATCTCTTGCGGATTGTAATGAAGTACGGAGTTGTAACTAGTAGAAGTAACTGGAGTTGTAAGTTGCCCGATTTTATGCGAGTATTAAAAACGCGCGCTAAGTTTATAAGGAATGCACTTGCCCAAAATGAGGTATTACTATTATAATACAATATATTATATATTAATATAATTGTCACGTAGAATATTAACATATACATGTAATTCAATAATATAATATATTCTATATAATTATTTTAGAAAATATTTTACATTAATTGATGAAATATCTGATGAAATATTTACAATAATTTACTGTTTTGGGAATTATTTTATACTTTCTTGGAGAAATTTGATTTTATACAATTTTGCATATTACACGAGGTGTCCCAGTCCAAACTGATACGAAGCTATAACTCCAAAACTATCGGCCGTATACAAAATTGCAAATATGGAAATCGCATGGTAGAATGGAGTGCATGTTTCGACGAGAAGGAAATTTTGTTCACTTTCTTATTTAACGAGATATGATGGTCAAGTTTCGTTTTTCAAATGGAACTATATCATTTTTTTTTTTTTTTAGATCATGCGATACTGCTTTTCAAGGCGAATTCATTAAACTTTAATGCATTTACCTGAATTTTATTAGCTTTCAAGCTATAACGCTTCAAAGTTTGCTAATTTTCAAGGAAAAAACTCGGTTCGGCCTCGGGCGGTCCCAATTATTCGGTAAACACTATGCGGTTCTTGAAATCGGCACGGAGGGTTTCGCTTGGGATTGCAAGCCCAAGGAAGGAACATTGGAGAAGTATTCACCAGCACTGATGCACTATTTACAGCGCCGAGAATTTGTTAGGTAGGTAATACTTTTACCGAAATTCGGTAAGCACCATGTGGTCTTGCTTGAAATCCAGGGCCAAGGAAGAAAAACGGAAAGAGTATTACTTACCTAGAAAATTCTCGGCGCTGCAAATATAATGCATCGGTGTTGGATAATACTATAAGTGAAATTAACTTGTAAATGATGTGTTAGTCGCTAATGACCTAAGGGTTGATGCGGCTATAAATAAAAAAAAAAAAGAAAGAAAGAAAGAAAGAGTAGGTTAAACCTAAGATGTAATTTTGCTTCATATACATAGATTTAGTCTCGAAGTGCACGAAACCATTTAATTTATCTTAATTTATCAATAAATAAATCTTCAGTTATAAACCTAACAGATCAAACAAAAATTCCCTTGATTCTCCGAATGAATTGAAGCAACAAGCGTTAAGCCTAAGGAAAGAATGCTCAAAGCGTTTATTTCGATGCGAAGTGGAACGTATAATCTAAAGAGAATAGTATCATTAATCAGTACTTTTATAGGTCTACGTACCGGTTGGAGAACGATCTTTGTGCCGTGTTTCTCGGGATCCGGATTAAGGCCTTCGACACCGTCGAATAAACTCGGATCGGCATTGAGGAAATGCGGCAGAGACATCGCAGCTGGGATGTCTGTAAGCAAAGAAAAGTCGTGTCGTATGCAAGTAGTATGATTATTCAGGTTTGTGAAGCAAACCGTTACTCCGATCTAAAAAGTTTATAGTACAAGGAAATTGGGAACGATATGCAATATATGTAATTATTGTAATTTTCTTTGTAAAATTTGTTCTTCTTGTTAATTATAGTAAATTGTACTTATGTGTATTGAGTAACTATGTTGATCTAGTAAAAATACTATCTTGATCAGATGCAACTGGGTCTCAGGGTTTGAATAATAATCAATTACAATTTTTTAATTAAATAATTAATTTAAACAAATTTAATTAGATCATCTTAATTAATAAATATTTTAAATAAATGTAATTAAAAATTACATTGAATTAAGCAGAGTTGATCGAAAACCGTTTAATTGACGATTGATACGAGAGAATTTAATCGAAGATCATTCAATTGACGATCAATTTAAGCAGAATTAATCGAAAATCCTTCGCTTGACGATTGATTTAAGAGAAATTAATCGAAGCCATTTAATCGACGATTGATTTAAGAGGAGTTAATTCAAAGCCATTTAATTGACGATTGATTTAAGAGGAATTAATTCAAGCCATTTCATTGAATTTTATGGCTTTGAAACGGAAGATTAATTGTCAGAGTAGTTCAGGAAAATGCTTTACAAGAATGTCAAGTGTACAATGGTGCCGTGAACTACATTTGGAAAGTTCAGACTTCGACATTTGATGTTGCAGGATGAGAGACTTTCATCGGTTCAACTCCTCCGTTCCTTCTACGACGCTAAATGTGTTATTTACACGAGGAACTCGATGAGCCGGTTAGTAGCTGGTAACTGCAGGGAAATCAACGCGAGGTGAGTTCTCCCTTATCAAAATCATAATACCGTTGTCAATTCGTTGCATGAAGTTAATGTTACTTACAATGAGCAGATAATTGAATATTCAAAGTAATATTAAGGTACTTTATCTGAGTTTATAACACAGAAAAGGATCTTCCGCGTCAGTATAGAAATTAATTTTGTGAACAATCTTACAATTCTAACTCTAACCTGCAGTTACTAGGGGTGTGCGGGATTCCCGAAAATATTCAGGATTCCTGTAAAATGTCCGGGATTCTCGAAAATATCCGGGATTCCCGAGAATATTCGGGATTCTCGAGTTTATGCGGGATCCCGAGTTGATTCGAGATTCCCGAGAATACACGGGATCCCGCAAAAATCCGGGATTCTCGAAAATGTACGGGATCCAGAACAATATCTGAGATTTCCGAAAGTGTTATTATTCTTGAAAATTTCAGCAATCCGAATGTACGGGATCTCGAAATTCTCGGGAAATCCGGATGTATTCGGGATTCTGAAATTCTCGGGATTCCGGGATCCCGATCCCGGGAGGAATTCCCGTCCCGATCGGGATCCGCACACTCCTAGCAGTTACTCTTTTCTAGGGTATACTGATCCTGCAGCTATCTGATTTTCGTAAGAGTCGCTATACTTGCCTAGAATAACCGAACAACCAAAATACCTCGAATCCGCGGTTACTCATTATTGGGATATACAAGTTGTTTCAAATCACCTCCCGAACTACCGCTTTCAAGGGCCTCCCAAATTATTAGGACACCCTGTAAATACGGCCAAAGTTCTCAATTTTATATACCCATAACTTTTTAACCGTTGGATTCCTAACATTAAAACTTCCATTTTTGTGATTTATGGATCAAGAGCTACTAAATGGTATTTAAAAAAGTCAATAATTTTTGGTGCGCCAATGAAAAGTTCAACTAAAAAGCCTGTTAGATTCCCAGTCCCAAGTGTTAATAGCACGACGAGAGCTACGCGCTGAAATCAATTCAGTTACTGTCGCTTGATTTAAAACGAACGATACACTTACTGTAATAACATGGTGTCATGTCGGAGAGTCCTTTCTTCAAGCACTTGTTCTTGTTCCAACAGAAGCAGCCGTTATCCGGATTCTGGTCAGGCGGGTCTAGGAAATTCTCTGCCACGGTGTATAAATATCCGTTGACACCGTCCAGCCACACTTCCTTTTTGAAAACAATCGGTATCGCTCTACAAAACGATTTTCTGAATATTCTGAACGTTGCGTACTTGTCCAAATTCGATGGGAACAGTTCACCCTCGGTACAGCCCTTGATGCTATTGCAAACAGTATTTCTAAAATATGGAAATAATGTTTATTAGGTACATGGGACCTCTCCATAATTGGAGTTATAGTTAGGCTGAGAATTTTATGCATTCGTAGCGTACAATAATATGGAAAACGTATTCAAACATGAATTGTGTAGAGTATGTGTATTTCATTATCCAATATTTCGTTTTGCATACGTGTATATTGGGGTGGTTGTTAAAAATTAAATTCTCGTAAATGCTCCATAGAAAGCTTTTCTTTTTTTTTGGCGAAGGAAAATCAGGAGAATTTTTTCTGTTAGAAATAAAATTAAAAGAACACGTGCCACCAAACGATCTAAATTCATTTTTGGATGAAATCGTAGTTTTTTTGGAAATATCTCGCGAAATATGCAGAATTAAGGTAATAACTATAGAAACGATTTTGTAGGAAATTAAATTTTCTACGGAAAATGTGGTATCCATTTTATTAAAAGAATGCGTGTTTATGAAGATATTTCCAAAAATCTTTCGTACATCTTATTTAGTGAGCATTTTAGAAATTACAGATGTTAATAATAACAGATGTAAACAGATGTAAATAAAAATATATGGATAATTCGCAAATATAGTGCTAGAATAGTAGTAATGTTATTTTACATCAGCGTAAATAACGGAACAACAATTTCATGAGATACATCCAAAAGACTGCGATTTGGTTTTTTTATTTTCTTTTTTATCAAGACAAATTTTCCTCATTTTCTTTCACTAAAAAGAAACTTTTAGTTCCAGTGTATGTACATATGTATACAGGGTGTCCCAAAAGTCGGGGAGGAGCCGGAAATGGGGGGTAGCTGAGACGCTTCTGAACAACAATTTCCTTTGCAGAAATGTCGGATGGGGCTTCGTTAAGGAGATATTAAGCGAAAACCCCGACCAATCAGAGCGCGCGTAGACCGTTGGAGCGGCCGCGGTAGCGTAGGCTACGCGCTGACGGCCGCGCTTGTACGCGAACAAGTGACTCGACGTGCATCGAAGGACATTGGGCGCGGCTGCCTAGCGCGTAGCCTTCGCTACCGCGGCCGCTCCAACGGTCTACGCGCGCTCTGATTGGTCGGGGTTTTCGCTTAATATCTCCTTAACGAAGCCCCATCCGACATTTTCGCAAAGGAAATTGTTGTTCAGAATCGTCTCAGCTACCCCCCATTTCCGGCTCCTCCCCGACTTTTGGGACACCCTGTATATTGTTGCGTCGGAGAGTGGTGTTTCTTGTCATTCTGATTATTCAAATACACCGAGCAACAAAATTTTTAGGTTTTTTTTTTAACAAAAATATTAGTGTGAGCCACCGGTGGTACACGCCGGCGTGAACGTCTGTTAAAAACACGATTCTTCACTTTCACATAGCTTCCAATTACGTTAACGCGTATATTCTTACTCTGGGTATGTCTCGTTTCCTTCCGGTTCTCGATATCCCCACTGAGACATTCCCGGACTGCCATTGTACGATTCGATACTGAGGTAACGTCCATCCTCGTTCGTCATATTGTCATTTGTGCCAATGTTCATAAATACGACGTTGTCCCCTTCGTCGTACATCTGTGTACAAAATACGCTCTCTTTATTCTCAAGATAAGAAGACTGAAATAAATCTGAACGTGGATATTTAAGCGTCTATTGCCGAGTAACGTCTCTATCTTATGTAAACAAATATTCTTATCGAAACTATATTTACGAGAATTGGAGATTCTACTTTTCATTCAACAGCTCCGGGTAATGAATCAAATTATCGAATCCGATACGAACACGTCGATGGATCGTGTGAATTATTTTTTTTTTTCCACGAGTGTTTTGAAGCGTGTGATGAGGTTGAATATCAGAGCTCTCGCCTAAAACACGTGCAATGCGATACACGGGTACACGTGTCACATTTAATATCACTACCGTATTCTCGCGTATACGAATGAAAGACGATTGCTACTTAAACGCTATCGACAGTAAATTTATCTACATTTAATTTGAATCTGCTTCTAACGCGATTAATGAGGTAACTGGCCTTAAAAGAGACACTTTTTTTCAATTTGGAGCAGAAATATTTCACGCGATACTAATCCAATAATACATGAAACAATTATGTATATAATAAGTTTTAATATACAAAAGAAAATAGAAAAATTACCCGCTATCACTTCATTGAAGAAACTGAATCTCTCAATGTCACAACTGCCAACACACAGTTGTTATGTGAGTGGAAAGAAATTACCAGAAAAGACAAAAGCATCAAATCGAATCAGTAGAATCGAAAACGTAGAATTTTTTTTAAATTAAAAAACAAAAATACTTCGACCTTAAATTTCGAGGTCATAATGGATTAGGCGGACGGTTTCTTTTGGAAATGTCCACCGAGATCCAGATGTGTACAATAATCCCTGAAAGTGGTGACCATTAATTTGTTTACACCCTGTACATATATCTACATACATTCGCAATATTCGAGAAACGATTTCGGCATTGTTGCGTTGACTGTTACCGCGCAACTTCTCTACGTTCAGTTTCCGATTTTAATGACTTGCATCGCACTGTCGGTAATAATTGTTATTTTCTTTTAAATGATTTACAATTTCGGTTCTTGTAACATATTCAATTTTCAGCGAGTTCTTAAATTGCATTTTGATTCAAATTGAAAAAATTCACACGAAAATCTTGTACGTTTCACAAGCGTCTGTGTTAAAATTAAAAATTAGAACATTTTCATTACAATATACGATGTGAATAAAATAGATTTTTGTAAGAAGAGACCGAACATATCAAAGATGTTGACAACTCCTTGGATTAGGGCGAAATGCATTCGACGTAGTCGATGGGGGGGACGGATTGCGACACTTCTCGTCGAACTCGTCTCGAAACCCGTCGCGTCGACGGAGTTTCGACTCGTATGTTTTCCTCTTCGTATGTATTTTTTATGTGTTTATGTATTGCGTCTCAAATAATTTCGTTCGAATATTAATACACGTTAGGCCTACCTACAATTTGTTCGAGTCTAGTCTCACGCCTGCCTCCTTTCGCTGACATCTTACATTTGATTAGAAATTAATATCACAAACAACTCTTGTTCTACAGTCTTTTTTTCTATCGTTAAAAGTAAGCGTTAAAAGTAAAATTATTCAGGTGGCCTGTTTGAAATGCCTCGCTCTGCACAGACTCTGTATCTATAAAAGAATTACCTATACAAAGTAATTATTTTTCTATCGATAATTATTCAACAATTTCGTAATCGTTAGTTCTTCTCGTCTGCGTTTGATAAAAAGTAAAAGGAATTAATAGGTGACAGTGCATGAACCAGAGGATTCCATTAGCGCGTGGTTAGTATCTCGGGAACGGCTAGTGCCGTCTGTCATAATCGCTTTTTGCGCGTGCAAGAGTCGTTGACACTAACCTCGTGAACCCTGAAACGCGTTTGTACACAGTGAAAGGATCAACGAGTAGAAGTAATTGCGAAAAATTGTCGACAGTCGCGGCACGTGTGTCCACTTGTGTACACTGTACATACACCGAGGAGTTTATTATTTCTACACGATACGATATTATTCCGTTCGTCGTCGTGACTTCGTTCCTCGTGCAGCGAAATTTAGCAACAGGAAACTTTAAATGATTTGGCCGATTCATGCGTGGACAAGGTTAGTCAGTTGTGTCGATAACCGGTATATTTTTCTTCGTTCAATTTCTTTTTTTATATTTTTTTTTTTTTTTTATTATTATTTATTGGGTCGTTATAGTCAACGTCGACAGTCTAATTCGTACGCAACAGGCGCTCCAACTAGGCGCACCAGCGACAAGTTAATGGTCTAAGGATCGTGCCTGCTTTCGCGACTGATTATCGGTAATTTTCCCTGAATAGTTTTTTATTTTTCTCTCAGTATGTCTGGACGGTTCACGTTCAGTGGAATGTTACTCCTGACATTCATCTCCGCATCGTTGAGTGTCAGTAACAGATGACATTCGATCGAAGGGTTGTTCTAGTTCGAATGACTGAAAAATTGATTTTCTGGAATTCTTTTTGTCGAACCGTTAAGGAGCTTGAAACATCAAAAAATGAAAAAAAGAATCACTTTTTTTTTTTTTTTTAATTAAAATATGAGCGATTCTGAACAGTTATACGCAAACAGAATTGAATTTGGAGCACTGTTTTTCGATAGTTGGGCCTAATTTACACCGAGGATTTTTTCAATGTTTTGATTTCGAAACCTATACATTTTTGTTCAACTTTGAACATTTAAAAAAAATTAACGGTGTAAAGTAGGCCCATATATCAGAGAACAAGCGTGTGAAATTTGGTTCATATCGGCCTGACCGTTTCTGAGAAAAGTGTACCTTTGTACCAAAAACGTAGGTTTTCAGAAAACGCAAAAAACTAAAAATTTGTATTTCGCGCTGACTATCGATACAAATAATATCTAATCGTATTTAATTTTATGAAAATCAAGCGAAGCAAATACGCGTCCTCCTTCTAAATACAGTATTCGGGCTAAAATGAAATCATGCAACCTCGATTCGTCGTAGTCCTACTTAAGAAGAATTCTCGAGATTTTTTTGATCAATTTCCATTCACGTTTCTCGCAGAACAACTTTCAAATATTTCGGGATTTCCGATTACCAGGAAAAATTTGTTGCAGCCTTGAAAATTGGACTATGTTACATACGTCAGTTTGAAATGAAAAATAACCTTTTTCTTGCGAAACTACAGTAATTGATGATCAAAAAAACCGTCGGCTGGCAGCCAATCGTTCGAACAACGACGCGTGGGTGTATTTCGAAGAAAACAAATACAATTATATCATTTCTTAATGACTAATTTTTAGTATAGCGACTAATTGAATGTTAGCGAATAACAACAAAAATATTGCCAAACGTTTTGCGTAAGGGTTGTCAGACGCGCAAAAGAATGCGATTTCGTGCGCATCTGGCAATATTTTTTTGTTATTCACTAACATGCGATTAATCGCTATACCAAAAATCAGCCATTTCAAAATGACGCGAGTAAAATCGTCACCGGCTCTTAGACCGATACACCTATTTACGCGTTCCTAACTAAATTGTGTGACAAACAACAATTTCGATATTATTATTCCGTCAACTTCAGTGCTTACGTCAAATACTAAAGGAAAATATTTGTTTACAAGTTGTTTCGTTATTTTCTTTTTCAAATTCTTGAGGATCTCGTGTCTCAATCAGCAGGATCAGGATTCCCGAATCTCAAGAAGTATTTAAAAAAAAAAAAAAATAATACATATCGAATTGAATAACCTCCTCCTTTTCGAAGTTTGTGTATCCCAAACAACAAACAAATCTCGGAAGACGTTACCAGTCCCCCTCCTCCGTCCCCTCCTCCTCCCCCCCCCACTGCGTAATCTAAGAGGAAATCTTTCCTTGCTGCTTGAATTTATGCAGTAAATAATATTGGAGTTCATTCTAAGAATTTGAACTTTGTAATCTTTTTTTTTTTAATTGCTTGGAAAGACACAGCAAAAGTGTTTAAAAATTACTCTCTGTATGAATAAGGAATAATCTCCAGAATCTTCGGTATCGAAGCTTTTACGAAACACACAGTTCAAGTACACAGTTCGTTGTTTAATTTAATCGAGGACAAGTTACTGGCGGTAATGCACCCAATGCACCTAAAAAATTTTCAGTATCATTTGTAATATGATGCTTCTGTTTGTGAGAAACATACGGATAATTATTCAATTAAACCGATAAGAAGTAGAGATCAATACCAGTAGTGCGCTACGCCTAATGTATTATCAGTCATTTATATTCAGTTCACGAACGGTAAGTTGGATTCACGAGTAAAATCAAATGGAACTTGACGATTTTTATTCTTTTTTCACATAATTTTTTATCCGCGATAGTAGCACTATAGATCTAGCAAACGTTTCTTGAGGAAATTCCAAAGAACAGAATGACGTGCTGGACGATAATGAATATTTTAAACATTCATAGATCAGTTTCTGCGCTGCATAATCTGTATAAATTAAAGAATTGTTTTCGCTGTCTCGAACAAGCTATTACTTACTTGTCGATACTTTATTGTAATCATTCGCAAAATTACTAAAGTAGCATACGAAAGAATTCATCAAAATTAGGTTTATGGAACGCGACCGTTTTGACCCGTTACAAAGTTTACAAGGTTTTACAGAAACCGTTTATACTTTTCGCCAGCCACTTGTCCAAATTCATTTTTGACTAAGCCTTCAAATTATATATATATATATTCCGTACCCATTTTTGCATAATTTGACTTGACTTTGAGAATCACTCTAAAACAATGAATTGAAAACAAATAACTTATTTCAGGCTGCAAAATCAAAATATTGCAACTCTTTTCCTCCTTTTTTTTTTTTTTTACGATGTGATAACGCGGTTAACAACGTCGAAGTGTTTGTGTATCTGTGTTATTTTTATTTACGTGTATTTAACGGTATAAATTGACCACTTACCCTGTCGAGTAAACCAAATTTGCGAAAGTTGATGAAGTTCGGCATGAGGCCACTCGCCAAACGAATGAGAGGATCTTCGTAGCCCCAAAGATAATCGTGAACGCTTATGTTCAGAATTGGCTTGCAGTCCATCATGTTGACCAACCTCGCCCATGGGTAATTAATCAGAAATCCGCTGTCGTGCAACGACGAGGAGAGACCCTGGAATCAAAACTATCATTGAATCATTTTTCTTAATACGTTATTCCTCTTGTGTTTGTTTATGTTTACCTTAAACTGAAAAATATCAACCTTGGCCAAATTAGAATTAATAAAAGTAGAAAACTGAATATGAAGCATCGATGTCGGTTTTCTGGTTTAATGTGTAGTATTGTACTACTAGTATATAGGGTGGAGCATTTATAATCAATTGGAACACCGGAACATCTCTGTTATTTATGGTTTGATGAAAACAAATCTATAGAAGAAAATTACACTGTTTGAAGTGTCCTCGTGGTATCATCTGAGGCCAATCTAAGATGCAACGTTGTATGATCGCGGTTCTCCATATCCAAGAATAAGGGAGGTCAAACAAGAACACGAAACACAGGGTACAGGATTGTATGTAAAGGCTGTGTATGTAAAGCGGTCGACCATGGATCCGAGGATCGCGAGTTCGAATCTCCCGTGCTTTGTGTTTCGTTTCGACTCCCACAACATATTGTTACGTTTTATGTTTGGCATAACGAGAACTTTAAGGATTAACGAGTAACTATAATATATAACAGGGTGTGTACAATACAAATATCAGCAAAGGTAATTAAATGTGTTCTTAGTTTCGGAACGTCAGCATTCAATGGCGTCTAGTTCGAATATGACAGCTCGACAGGCGATCGATCCGATCGCCTTCTTCTCAGGCCTTGGATCCATCCAAAGGGTGCTCGCAACAATATTCACGCGATTGAATTCGTTTCTTTATCAGCAATAGAATTCCAATAATAAAAGTAATGCATTCCACTTAGAAAGACACCTTTTCAATGATCTTGAAAAGTTTTAAAAAAAACGTCTTTGAGAAAAAAATGGTGTCCCACCGTTATATGCACACCTTTAAACAGCGTAACTGTATTGTAGGGATTCTGTTTTCATAGTACCCGAAATAACGAAAACATTGAAATGTTCTCCACTCTGTATACTAACAAAAAAAAAAAAAAAAAAAAAAAATGAACATGCTAGATAAGATAGCATATTTTGACACATAATTTACTATTTTTTAGGTAAATATTGGTTCGTCCGGAAAGTCCATGCCGATTTCTGGTAGGTGGTTTAGGTCGGAATGGTTGAAAACAAATAACACGTATACATCCCTTAAAAGGTGAAAAGGTTATGGAACAAAATGGTACTTGCGTAATTCAATAAATATATAGTAAAATTCAAATGTGCCTTTGAATATTTCTTAAAAATTGCCATGAACTTTCCGGACAACCCAATATATCCTTATTTTACCATTAAATTTGATCACCTAACCATACCTCCCGATTTCGACAACGGTACTCAATACTTGAACGAGATAGCGAACAATATATTTTAATTATTTTTGTAAAAGTTACGCTAACGTGTGTTTACATCGACCCTAAACTTCTCACAGCTACATTTACAAAGACCTACGGAATGATCTAATGTTTTACTAAACTGAAAGAAACGCGTGTTTATCAGCTAATGTTTCATCGTTTTTCTACTAACTACTTCTACTAACAACTCTGTTATTCATATGCTCAAATTAAAAATTCAGTTGAAAACATTAAAATCTACAAAACATGCAAATAAAACGCAAATAACGATCAACAGGTGACTGAAAAAAAAAACAATTTTTTTTAATAATAATGATTATGGTAAGCAATGCCCCTCGGGGGATTCTATTTATATGTAACACGCTGCATTCGTTGATCTTTGATACTAGATTTCTATTTCACTTCCGCCTGTCGCGGAAAATGTGTCTTTCCTCAGATATTCATTATCATCAACGTTTCTTTTTTTTTTTTTTTCGACTGGAAAATAACTTGTAAGTAATTACTAGTTCAGGAATGAATCTTGTGGAATTAGCTGTTACTTAATATCGTAACGCGATGATACAGCGGTTCTACAATATGTATAATATAGCGACACGAAAAGTATACGCGCGAACAGTAATTTGACGGTAATTATTGTATAAGAATAACGATCAATAGATTGTTACGATTGGAGTCTTTTATGTATACATGTTTCATCGAAAGTAGCATGAGTCTACTGTCGACGAGTCATAAATGACGCTTATTTATTTCCATTCATAATTTCTCGGTGTGTTTGATTGTCAAAGCACGAACTGAATGAAGAATGGTAATCAACAGGCTCGAACACGTGAAAAAGTAACGTAAGAATGACGCGAATAGAATTTTATATACAAATCGAGCATTTTGTAATGATTGAACGATAGGTGTGTCACATCAGTGTCAGACGTTATCGAGACTCGATTATTAAAAGCGAATTAATCCTACTTTTTATGAAGCACATTATTGCAGATCGTTCCTTCTTTTATTCAGTAGATGTTCGTTAATGAGTTTTTTTTTATATTTGCACATTTGTTGTGTGTTGATTATTTTACAGAATCGAGCGGAAGCTTAATTAAAGTATTAATAGTATAATATTATTTAGTTTGAGTGTTACATAAAATTTCTGTTATGATAGAATACTGTAGGTAATTAATATAAATATTATATTAGAGTTACTAACTATTCGTGTTAGTTATTAATCTAGATATTTGTGTTATTATTTAACGTATGGTTACGTGTTAGCATAACGTAACGGAATGTACATTTAACTAAAGCTTTAAGTTATGTTTAACGCTACAAGTTTCTTAAACTTGGGCAAAAAAATTGTTAATGTCACCAAATTTTCGTGTCAATGCAAACAAACATACAGCTTGCGGTTATTGATTGGCATAAGCGTGATATGTTAAATTAACACAAGAATATTGGTGGACCATTGGATTATATTCTCATTTAGATACTAAATGTCGAGTAACGAATAAAAGACGAATACAGACAATAAATGTGAATTCACTTACCAACATGGGTACATTTGGAACGTGTACGATATCTTCTTTTGGGTCCCTTACGGACATTTCTGGGATGTATACTATCGTCCTCCTCGGTATGTAAGACATCGTGTTGTTCTTGTGCCAAGTGATGTTTTCATTTTCCAAAATCTCCCTGCGAACAGTAAAGTATCGATCCGTGAAATTTTGTATACAACGAACGTTTAAAGATGAAATTTTTCATATTATATATAAAAATTTATCACGTAGATCATTGTAAAATTGATCATAACATAAAATATTTCTGCGGTTCAGTAGAAATTCATCTGCATGTTTCTTTTTAAGTATATTTAATTAATTATTCAGAAACCAATTGGAGTGTTGAAATCAGTCATTTTATAAGGCTTTTGGCGAAATCTTCTTGAAATGTACCTGTAAATTTTCATAACTTCGTGCTTAACTGTTTTCAATTGGTCTCGTTATAGTTACAAACACACCCTCTACTCAGATTTTAATGTGAATTAATTACTTGGCTCGCTGTAAATTAAAATAGTGAAGTGTGTGTCGTAAAGAATAGTATCTTACTTGGTAAATATAAATAATAATACTAGTATTGCATTCACACTCGGCTGATATAATCGATTTTCTATTACCGTAGACGTCTCGTTACTTACTGATATACATAGGGCCCGACTTCTTCTACTTTCAATTTTTCTTCGCCCTTGAGGAATTCCTCCGCGTTAGTAACATTGAATATGTACACCTTTATGTATACGTCGATCGGAGGTTTTTTCCATAACTCGAAAATCAACGAATTTGGTCTCAATCGCACGTTCTGAAATACATGTTCATGTATCGGTCGGGTATGCTACTTTAATAAAATTAAATTATTGCAATACAATTATCGCTGGACAAATAATAACGTTCGATTTCCAAACACTTACGTATTCTAATATCGTTTTCACAGGATTAATTACATAGAGGATGTATGCCAATACGCTGCAAGTGGTCCCCAGAAGGAATAGTATTACGAATTCTGCAACAAACAGACGGTATTATATTGTAATCAGTAATAGATAACTTGAAAAATTAATTTTATACACTGGTAGTCTATCTTCGAATGCTATTTTGTTTCAAACCACTCTGAAACTATGTAGTTGCATACGACCGTGGATCTAGGTAAAACAAAGATAGTGGAGTAGGTAAAACAAAGAGCGCAAACGGTTTGCAACACTAATTTCAAATCGGTCTTACTCTCCAATTATCGATTTGTCAATTGAAAAAACAACATTTTCATTTAGTTAAATATTCACGCCGGATTCAATTCAACGAAACGAGTCTCAGCGTGTCTCTTTCATTCTATGCATGTAAGCGACATGGTTGTCGAAGAGATTACGGATTAGAAGTACACGTATCATTTTCATTTTGAACGTCACACATCAAATTCGAGATCGGATAGATAGAGGTACAATTTGCTATTCCATACGTCCCGTAATAAATTATGTCGGACTCGTTTCTCGGATCTTCTAGCGTAAAACGCGATCGCGTGTGATATATGATAGCTACTGATGTAATTATTTCTACGAAAATAGGGAAACTAATGTAGTATGCTTCGCAATGTGCTCCAGCCGCTGGAGTTTTGCATATTTATTGCTCTTTCGCTGGAAATCCCGCGATACCTTGACAAAACAGTTAATCTTGTCGCGTTAAAAATCAGTTATCACCTTAACTCTTATTATAGCCAATGGCGAGCTTGTACGATGCTCGTATTGTGATTACGTTGCGGTAGAACCTCGATAAATAAAACCTCGATTATTGCATGGGAGCCTCGGTCGTTGCACGCTGCCAACAAGTGAAGTAATGGAATTCTACTATTTATACTCGTCGAATTGGTTGCCTTTGTTAGGTTGGATTATAATAAATTTTCGACAACGAGAGAAACTGAGGTCAATTGTAACGTTTTTAATAAAATAGCTTACACAGTTGAAAGTGATCGAAAAAAGTGATTTTCGAAAAATACTCGTTTCCTCGAAAAATATATTTGACAACAATTTCATGTCTCATCTATACGTGTTTCCACCCTTAAAACCGTTTCTGGGCCAAAATGAAAAAGGGCACTGTAATTAAGTCCCCATGAATTTTGTTTCAGCAAAAATTCAAATTTTTCAGAGCGTTACAATTGCCAAACTTCCCTCGTTATCGCAGGTAAGTCACGGAAAAAACTTTTGGGGCAACCTAACGTAACGTATCCGGTGAACCGTCCTGTGTCGTAATAGCACGAGAATAATTTTTGCCAAATCCAGTAAATTTCAATCCATAAAAAACGTCCATCACCGGAACAAGAAACATGTAGTGCCCATTTATCGTTTCTTCGAAGTTATGTAGCCGTGAACTTCGCCTTTACACTCACGTTTCACTTGGGACATGAACCCAGTGTCGAGGTTATCAATTCTCCATTTAAAGTTTCCATTTAATTTATAGTACATCGAATGCAGTTAAACAAATTTCCCCTCTAGTTTACGGTCGTTGTTTCGTTGAGTTATCGAATATAAATTTCAATTTAACACGTTTCTTAACATGTTCGAAGATCTCGAGATATTCCTCGAAAAGAAAGATATTCAACGATTTCAAGGTACGGACGTTGTTGATGGGTGTCAATCATACCCTACGATACGTTATGTGATTCAGAGCCGTTTACCTTGACTTAAATTCCACGTTATTCGACAGTTAGTAATCGCAGAACTCTTGTTTACATTCGAAATCGTCAATTTTATCGGTCACAGACGCAATTGCAAAAAACTGTTCCCCTTCGACACGTGGCGCCGGTTCGTCGGTTGTTCGGTATTGCCTTTTATTTTCAATTGCAGAATCCTTATTGCGATTTAATGGCAAGGCGATCCGAACGTGTAAGGACAAACTTAATGACGTTCAAGTGCTTCTACCATTTTCTTTTTTTAATTAGAGCTGCATTCAGTACGCACTGCTGCAATAACAGTTTTCAATCGCAAAGTTTATGCGTGTTTTATTACACCGCAGTTTAAAGTAATTATTACCAATTTGTTATTGGTACATAATTTAATAGTATCTCAATTCAACGATACCTTTTATCGTTTCTCTGATTGTGTATGTATTTCATCTATACGTAATTCGTCACTTTTTGGGTTTTATATGTATTTTCAGCCACTTGTAATTATTTTTGATCTACAGTTAATTATTTGGAATGTGATATAAGTAATCGTTTCTTTGTCCGGGTGCACGTTCATTACGAAAACAATTGTTTCGCTTGTTATATAAATATCTTGATTCGATGAAGACATATACACTTCGGAACACCCTGTACATTAAAGAAGAAAAAAAATGTATCATTATGTAGTTTCGTCAAAATGTGATCAGTGGATCGAAAATTTTATTGAAAATCTCAAACACTTTCCCTGCTCGTACATTGGAAATAAAAGGATCACCTTTTGTCACAGGTAAATGTCTTTTTTTTAATCATAACTGATCACTTGTGGAATACGGTGTTGCAGAGACACCGATAACTGGACTTTTGCATCTTTTGCATCTTGGGCTTTTTGTCTCGTTCGTTTGAATACCGTGCTGGATCGAAGCGAAGTGCGTTATTCTAATACAAGCGATCAACGAGCAATATCACGATAGCGTGTCAACATTTACGTTTACTTTGTTACATGATGCATTCATGGCACGTGCTGTCGCCGTTTGTTGTTTGCGTATGTGTGTGACAAAAATAAAATAGCGCGTGCACCGATATTTAGTATCACGGCGAAAGCGCGATATGCTAATGCCATTGTGCTTTATGATATAATTGACGCTTCAGACAGATGTCATTTTCTTTCAACGTTTATTGACAACTTGCGACAGAAATGGAGTTGAGATTTCTTTTAACGGTGAAAACTCTCTGCGGTTATTAACAGACTGCGGATGCTTATACAAATTCATATTTTCATAGACAAAGAAAACAAATTTGTAACTTAAATGAATACATGCTGTATATTATCGTTGATATTTTGTATATTTTTCCATTTGTGCACATTCCCATAGATACCTTTCTTCACGTTTGAATTCGTCGTAATCCATAAACATCTGTAGTCTATTTATTAATATATTTATGGAAACATCGCGTGAATTATTTCATGTGATTTATTGCGATAATGCACGAGTTATAGGTAGACTACAAATTTTATACAAATATGAAAAACATGCGTTGAACGTAATAGATCTACCGAATTCTATACCAAATAAATAAGTCTAACTCAGACTATATGATTTATATAAAATTAGATATTATAATAATATCACGGTATTAATTTATGAAAATATTCAACTTATTAGATAATACGTTAGAATATATTCAATTATTAATATATAATGGAATTTATATAATAAATATCAGATTATGCATGACCTATATAAAACTAGATATTAAAATCAAGATGTTAATTTGTGAAAGATATTTGTAAAAATTGCTATGTAAAATATCACAACTATATATGTATATTTATACAATTTTGCATATGTTTTTCACATTGATGTGTGCTAGAAATGTATAAAATCTGAAGTCTGTCAGTCTTCAGATCAGATCGATTTTTACTACAATCACGTTAATCTTACTTGTTATTAATTCTAAATCAACTCAATTTTCTTCGCACACGTGAATCGTTTCTTCCCGAAAGGTTTCGCAAGATTACATCACGTTATTAGAGAATGCGTAAGTGTACCACCCACTGTTCACCGTCGCAGACCTTTAAACAGTTACGACAACTTTGTTCGGCACGCTTCGTTCTACCCATACAGAACCATTCTGACCTTTCCGCGGTGATTTTCCTTGGCGGTTATGACCATCAGAAATTCGTTGAATTCACCAACGAAAATGTAGCAAACAACCCTGACGAAACGTGTTATTAATGCCCCATTCGTTTTGAACCATTCTCAGATTCTGTGTTCGATAATTTATACAAGGACTCATTAAGCAACGAGTCAAAGGCTACTATTACTCAAGAAGCTTATAATCGATACCTATCTGAGTCTATGACATCCTGAAGATTTAAAGATTTTATCTCTTAAGGTTATTCGACGCATTTCCAATGCATTTTCGATGCATTTTCGATGCATTTTCGATGCATTTCTATTGTGTATTTTATTCTACGGAAAATTAGGTTGATATTATTGCTCATCTGTTGAACGTTCATTCAAAAAGGGATAATTGGAAAAAAATGTCTCGTTTGGTTAATTCTTGGAAGTGTTTATAGCTATTTGAAAGAAAAACACGTGGTTGTCGTTTTTCTTTTTTTAATTCGTAACTTTTTTCTGACTGAGTAAAGAATTTCGAAAAAAATTACAGAAAGATATGGTATATCGGCAAATCCACAGAACTTTTGGATTTGCAATCTCGCGCCTTTATTTAATGTTATCTTCTGATGTTTCAATATTTTAACTATCATATGGAGGTTTTTAGTGGAAGGTATAATAAAAAAAAAGTTTTCCATGGGTTTTGTGAAATTTGTAAGCTATCTGAGAAGCCAGCAAGTAGTTGGAAAATTGAAATTTTAAAAATTGTCTTGTGACTTTGTTAATTTTCAAATATTTTATATAATAGGTATAATAAGGTATATACTTTATATATATATATATATATATATATATATATATATATATATATATTTAATAATAGGTATATACTATATGATATAGTAGGGTACAATAACACAAAAAGTTCAACCAAATCAAATGGGGGTCGTGTTCAAAAGTTGTATATAATATCATATGTAAATATCTATTCCTAACAAATATTTTATAAACATTTTCAAGTACACTGTACAAAAACCTTGAACTAAATGTATAGTTATTTTGTCGGCCATCATAACCGAATAGTTATTTAAACTCTATTTCATTAACATACGTATTATTTTAACGTTCTTTACACGTTCGCAAACGCAGGTGATTACTCACTCTTGAATTGCTGTAGCGGGATGGTGAATTTCATGGTTGTGACCTGATTTGTTGGCGCGTCGTTCCTTCTTTTATTTCGTCTTTTTAATCGTAAGGTTCTGAAACAGACACGAACATATCTTTAATCGATACAACTCCACTCAGAGTCAGAGTCCATTAACTAATTTAGCGTTACTTAAAACGCAGTTACCTTCACCCATCAAGGAGCATGCCAAATAAAATAACAACACAATTTCGATAATCCCAGATATTATTCCATATCCTGTACATCGTCCAGAATCTCGAACATTTTTGGGATCCCATATATTCTCGGGAATCCCGGATCTTCGCGGGATCTCGTGTATTCTCGGGAATCTCGAATCAACTCGGGATCCCGTAAAACACGAGAATCCCGAATATTCTCGGGAATCCCGGACATTTTACGAAGTAATTAGGAACCAAGTACTTCCATTTGTCAGTGTGCAAACACGAAACGCGCTCTTTCGTTGAAAACCGTGTTTGTTTTCCACGAATGAATAGAACCGAAAGATTGAAAGAAATAAAGAAGTGCAAATATCGGGTGTTGGGTCAGGTTTCGACGAAATGTTGACTAAAAATTTTCCCAGGACGTACAAAACAGGTATTAACTGTAAAATACAAATTCTGCAAAATTCCAAATGTTTCGCCGCAATGTTTGTCGAAGTTATTGACTCTCAGCAAGCTATAGTGTTTGCACTACGGTCAGAATACGATGACTTTTTTTTCCTGCTCGAGGATCATCATTTTGTAATTTTCGTCCGTTTTCGATTTCCTCCATTTAAGGATCTATGCTAGTTTGACTGCTCTAAAAGTCGAATTCTTTTTTATTTGCATTTTCTTGCAGTAGATAGAACAGAATTGGCTGGACGAAAGTTGTGCAATATGAAAACGTCTACGTAACTGCGAACACAATGTTTATGCAGTGGGTGGTGGAAAAGATAGCGGTAGGGGAAGTATTATTAAAGATAGAGTTTAATTTCTTATTACAGTTTTGCAGAATTAGAATTGAAGAACTATTAAATTTTCTATGTAAAAAGTTCTTCGATATCTTTTACAATCTCACAGATATTATTTCAGAAATGGGTCAAATGATTAGGGTAACTTACCCCCTGATAAGAAACACTGTCGGAGAGAATATTATTCATACACACTAACTTACGATGTTAATTAAGTTCGCGTCTAGTTTTATTCGATACAATGGTATCATCAGACTGCGGATCTTTATGCGGATATTTATAGGAAATTTGAATGTGCTAGAAACTACAAAATGCAAACAATATGCAAAAATATAAAAAAAAGATTGAAAGTAAAGTTCATGTTACAATATTTGCAGAGTAAAATAAATTCCTATTTAGATTCAATTTTTGTAGGCACGTTCACGAAGATTTTATTTTGCATAAAGATCCGCAGTCTAGTTATCATATTCATCGTACTAACAATGGAATAGGAAATTTTGTATTTGTTCGTATAAACAGGTATAACGAATTGAATTTCGACCGATTATGAAACTTATCGAATTATTTATAGCAATGAAAATAAATGTTATTGGAATGTAATATAAATATTTAAATATAACATAAAAAATTAAATGGGATATCGAAACATTCGAATATAATTCATGAAATACGAGTATAATATAAAGAAATTCAAGTTTGAAGTTAATCTATTTGCATGTAAATACAATAATTTTAATTTGAGGATTCGTTTCACTCCTCAAATATCAAAACGGGACAATATAAAACAAATACGTGTCAAATATTTTTCAATGTTTTATACGTATGCAAAATTTCAAGAAAATCAGAAGCGCACACTTGGTAAACGTTCCTTGTGAGTGACTCACGGCACGGAGATGCACTTACGTCGCGTATGATGTAGATCTCTGACACTAATGTGTATCGAGGATTTGCAATGTTAATCGCGACTAGTATCGCAACAAATAGCGTAACAAGCCGGTACTTGCAGAGGAACTTCTGAACTGTTATCGTTTGCATGAATAATGAATCGTTTCTTCCCCAGAGACACAACCTATTGAATATTAAATTAATTAAACACTCTTTCAATACGTATGCTAGTCATTGATTACCGTGACGCAACATTAAAGAAAGGATGGATGGAATTGTCGAAATTAAGTGTGAAATAAGTGTGACGTTAGGATAATAAGCGTTGAGTAATATGTTTCCCTTGTTTCCTTCGTTTAGTACTGCGTAAAAGATTTGAATAGAATGATATCGTCCAATTAAATGTTTGACTTGAATGAGTGAGTGATATTGTTGTGCTTTGGCACGGCGAGACAAATGATTGTTAATCGAAGGAAGCTTATTGTTAGTTAATAGATTCAAGTACATAGACGAGATGAAACATTTATTTATTGCGTTTCTCTTCTTTATGCAAACACAGGCTGTATTTCTATTGAAGTTATTTTTTATTAATTATATTTGATAATTAAATTTGAACTTTAATTGTATGTTTAATATTTGTACAGCTGTAGATAACTGAGATACATGATTTCTTTTTTACATGCGAATAACTTAGCTTCAAACTAGAATTTCTTTATATTATACTCGTATTTCATAAATTATATTCGAATATGGAGCTCGAAATTTTGAATGTCCCATTTAATTTTTATATCATATTTAAATATTTGTATCGTATTCTAATAAAATTTATTTTTATTTCTATAAATAATTCGATAAGTTTCATAATCAGTCGAAATTCAATTCGTGCAATAATAATTCATATTTCCTTTGCCCATATCGCAATCATGTATGGAAAACCTGCACTATTGATATCGCGTATCAATATGATTGTCTGTCTTTCTCTGGAATATTTTCACTTCAATGTATCTCAAAATAATCGGTAAGGAATTAATAAGGAAGCTCGAGAAACGAAAATTTCATATACTCCCTGATTGTCTGATTACTAGACCGCGGATGTTTATGCAAATACATATTTTTACAGATACGAAACCTTAAATAAAAGTATGTTTGATCTTCCAAACGGTGTAAGATGTATATTATTATTATACTATATATTATATAATTATAATTTATTATATTATTAAACATACACATAAACATACACAGTAATCGCCAAATGTTAAAATGTATCAAATATGTTAAATGTGTAAATGTTAAATGTACCATATTACGGTATTCACAAGTACGGTTATGTTCGCTTGTCGAGATCACAAGGGACACACATTTTACTTTAAATATAAACACGTCGTTTCCATCTAAACATTTAGAAATTATATGGACACCTTATCAGCATATTATTGAAATTAAAATACACGATTCTACATAGTTCCAACACAACTTTATTAAACTTTGAAATTATTTTCAGAATCCAAATAAATTAATATCTTGATCGATGAATTGGAAAAACACACATGTAAGAGTTCCTGTTTTGTTCTTCCTATTTACAAAGAAAACGCATTGCACGTAGAATTATTGTTTTTACAACTATTATACATTTACCGCGCATAATTGTCAAACTAATTGCAAGCTAAACATTAAAATGGAGTACACTCTGCCGTAAGGTTTTCGAGTCTAATTTCTGGAGTGACTTTAACGCTTGGTCAGGCGAACTTTTGATTGAGAAGCGTGCACGTCATAAAGCACGATTGAGAAATCGTGACGGTTGGTCACCTTGCGTCGAGCAAGTTCGTACGTAAATATCTAACGACCGTAACTTTTCAATTAATATCATGCATCTGGGCTAACACATTCCTCTGAAAACATTAACAGACCGTAAATCAAACGATACACTCGCTAAAAAAAGGCCTTTCTTTTACCGTTACGAAGATTCGCGGCAACCGCAAGGTGCAAAGTGTCGAACAGGACTTCTGTTACGCATTGCCTTTAAATTTTAACGCGAACAAACTTGTTTAAATTGAAATTCTATGTTTCCTCGAACACGCACAGAAAAGAAGTCATCGATATCGCTCAGATCTCACATGTTATTAAACTTGACTCTTTTTTTGAACGAACTGCACTTTTCAATTTTAAATGTTTAACTTTTTGGCGACAAAGGACATCGATATCACTGCATGTATGCAATTTTTCAGGCGTTGATAATTACTAAACTATGGATTTTATGGATTTATACGGTAATATGGCAAATATACAAAAAATATACATATGTATATTGAAATAGTATATGTATTTTATAATTAATATACAATAATAGTATTGTTGTTTTGTTTTACACAAGTAAAACATACTTTTTGATTACGTTTACCATATATTTATCATATTAGCTGGTATCATAAATGCATTAAATCTAATAAAATCTAATAAAATTGCTGCCTTTCGACTGTCGTTTATTCTTATCCTAATTTTTTCAAGCAAAACGGACTCGCTAGACACGCACACGACCGATAACGTCTTCGAAATACAATAAACTAAGTAGCCTTGCAACGATCTTGTCATCTTTCATTATGCGCCTTGCATTAGGATCAGAGCATAAAGAGAGTTGCATATGCAGATCCCGTACGTGACACGAGTATCTATCGTGATCTTTCGGTGGAACCAGAGCTGATCAAAGAGTATACATATATTATAAAACTGGTCGAAGGAACTGTTTTTCAATATAATTCGCTATGCATTTCGTAAGTTTGATCGATATCCTGCTATCTTTCCCTGACGATTGCAAGCTTTTAACCGCGAACACTTTTATTTATCGAGTTTCTTCGATTCCGAGAAGAATATTTTTTACACAAATAAGAAATTATGGTCGGCACTTTATCGACATATTTTTGAGATTCAAATACGTGATTCTTCAAGAGACTTCAACACGGAATTATTAAACTTGGAACTATCTCGAGAATTCGACTGAATTGTTTTCTGTATCTGTAGATGGGAAAAACATATACAAATTCTACTGAAAATGATTCTTCACAAGAACCGTACGAACACATATTGCTTCTATATTTCTGTCGATTTTTTATATTTTCAAATTAATTTCGCAAATTATATAAACTAGTAATTGTCGGCTGAACCACACCTATTCTAGAGATTTCCGAGAATATGTAGAATGTCATTGTTTATGAAAACTAAGTTAATAAATTACAATTTTACACAGTTTTTTTTTGGAACTTGATCAGTGTACGAATACTTTCTACGCCCACTGTATGTAAATGGTCCTGTTTTGTTTTTTTTTATATAAGAAAATTGTTTCTGTTCCAAACGTGTTCTTTAATATGAATCTGGAAAAGTTCGATAATGGCTTGTCGAGATCACAAGAAACATGCATTTTAATTTAAGAAATTATACCGACTCCTTATTAGCACATTATTGAAATTAATATACATGATTTTTCAATATTTCAACAAAATATCAGTACACTTGGATACTATTTACCGAATTTAAATAAATTATTATCTTGATCCATCTCGAGGAACATTATTTGCTCGAAGGAACGTGGATTTTAATATAAATAGAAACACGTCGCACCATCTAAACATTATCGAAAGATTCTATCTATATCTCCACGCTGATCCACAGTAAAAAGTTTCTGCACGAACGTCGACAGGGTTATTCTTATAAAATGCATTCATCGATGAGCTTGCCGCGCTGATTATTGTATATTAAAAAATACTTCAACGACACGATGTGCATTTCATGCACCTTCGTTCACTGTTACCAAGTGTTAATTACTAATTAGTAAGAAATGTGAAAAAGCATAGGGACTATGCTCAGGCTAAACAACTTACCAAGAAAACGTAATCTTCGGAGAAGGGTTCACTATAATAAAACACCCGCGAGTCGAAGAAACAGATCCCTGAATGACACTGGCTCAGAAACAACACTTTTCACACTTGTTTAGTCTATACACGAGCGAATCGTTAAACTTTGATAAAGAGAGCCATAAGTCATCCGCGTCGATGATTCTCTAATCTCGAACGTGCAACGTGCATCACACCCAATTACAAAAACTGTAACATCGCGGTGTTTTCTCGCATCGATGATAAACTTGAATCGTTTGTATGTTACACACTCCCTCTATGTCTTGTTATTAGTGTGCAGGAGTCCTGTGTTCACTCTGCTTTATACCGTCTCCTGATCACTAACCCCCATACGACGCCGTTGGAGACAACGTCCAAGATTTTTCTCTTCTCTTTGCCATCGGTACCAATAGCAAATGACGCACGCGAACAAGAAAAAGCCATGGGCGGGCCACCGGTTTGTTCTTATTTTCAGCAAACCAGAAAAGATGGGCAACGCGGTCAACGGCCTTGTACTATCGAATCAATCAAGCGTTACGATGAATTCCATAAACGAAAACTGGCACAATTTTCAACTTTCGTTAGCCGCCTTGCATTAGGCAATGGGGAAAAAATGTTCAATCGTGGAAAAGGAAAGTAATTCTTGTATTCGTTGCTCCTTGAAAACGAGAATTTTAATGTGGAGTATTTCGTACTAGAAGAACAATGAAATTTCTTTTTATTTGATTTGATTAACCTTTTCTTTTTTAATTTAATTTCACATTTGCTATATTATTCGTTGTATGTTATTGATGTAATGGTGATAAATAATATCAATTTTAAACAGGACATTGCCTCCTGTTTATATTTTATTAGAAACCTTTTCTTTTCCATTGTATAATTTCAATTTCCTCGATACTAAATTTGATCACACTTTGTTAAATAAAGTAATCTTATGCAAATTCCAAAATGAACGAAATCGCGTGACATTGTCTCCTGTTAATATTTTATTATAAGCCTTTTCTTTTCCATTGTATAATATCAATTTCCTCGATACTAAATTTGATCACACTTTGTTAAATAAAGTAATCTTATGCAAATTCCAAAATGAACGAAATCGCGTGACATTGTCTCCTGTTAATATTTTATTATAAGTCTTTTCTTTTCCATTGTATAATATCAATTTCCTCGATACTAAATTTTATCAGACTTTGTTAAATGAAGTAATCCGAACTGCAACGTTAATGAATTTGTAATACATCAAATTTCACACATTTTCGATTTCACGCATCAAATTTCACACAAATTATTACATTTTGATTAGGTGAATAGATAAGAATATATTCGTATTTATCCACCTATAATAGAAGTATAATTAAAACCACCGAATTTATGAATAAAGGGAATAAATATCCCGAAGAAAACTGTGTGAAATCAAGAAATTAATTTCAAATCTACTTTTCCCGCTCGTCATTGGTATTTACTGCATTGTTACCTGCAAATACTGATCAACCAGGCAAATGCATCGTGACACAACCATTTTTTATTCTCGCAATGTGTAATATAACTCGACAGTACGCACGAGCAAGATAATAATAATAATTGAAGTTCATAATTGAAGAAAGGAAGATAATTGATAGATAATGTAAAAATGCCTGGGATTAATCGCGGCGCCTGAAGTCCCCTATGGTATTCTGTATCTCTTCGAGCTGTATCTCGAAGAATTGCGAATGGACAGGAGAAAGTAATAGATACTTTATAATCCCTTCGATTTCGTAATGAATTAATCCAGCATCAAATATCAAGAAGCCGAATTTACGTAAGTTCGGATCGTGCTAGACGATAGAATGGAACCAATAGAAGTACAACATGATTCTTCACGTATGATACTATACATTCTGGACATTGAAGATAGCGCTGCATTAATGAGAAAACCTAACCACCGGTTCAGCGAGGAAACTGGATGGCATTCCACGCACGAAGAGCAGGTTCTTATGTACTAACCTTAGGTTGCGAATTAGAATCCTTCAAAACTGCACGGAGAAGCCTGTTAAATATAGTCGTGGTTGGTTTTGACGAATGACAAGCTGGAGAGCTGCTTCTGAATTGTTTCTTCGAGTTAAGGGGCTTGGAACATCGACAAATGGAACAAAAATCACCTTCTCTCAGCAAAATTTCAGCGATTCTGAACAATTCTGTGCAATCGGAATTTAATTTGAAGCACTCGGAGTGGTTAAGAAAAATTGCTGAGAACAAAAATACACGTGAAAAGTCGAAAAATCAAAAGAAGATACGAGAACGCGACTTGCTTGACACGAAAAAAAGTTAAAAAAAAAAGAAAGAAAGAACGCGATAAAACTGTAAAAAGTATACGGAAACACAACTGACAACTTTCTCGGAGAGGAAACAACGACACAGTCAAATTTGCGTGAGAACGGAGACGCGGTTACCTTAGTTACCGCCACAAAGTATTGTTTTCTAGGGTATAAGAGATAGCAAATTATCAAAAAGGCAGTGTTGATCGATTTTGATAAAAGTAAATACGATCAGATAACATTTATATCGTTAATCGGGCATGAAATAGAAATTTTTAGTTTCTTGCGTCTGCTAAAAAGTTAGGTTTTTTGTACGAAAGTGCACTTATCTCTGGACTTAATTGACTTTCTTAAATTTTTCTTTTTGCATAATGTACAGAGATGATAGGGCTAAAAACAGACTGAACATTTTTTCGAGATTCCAAGTGGTTAATTTTAAACATATTTTCAGAGTTGAAACGAAAGTGAACAAGTTTGCGCGGCGGTAACTTTTTTAGAAATCGAAACGTTAACAAAATTCTCTGTCTAAATTAAGTCCCGCTATTAAAAAAACAAGTGCGTACAATTTTGTTAATATCGGCTTAACCGTTTCTGAGAAAAGTGTACAATTATGGAGAAATTTGTACTTACTAAAATCCCGTATGTTCCAAGCCCCTTACACAGAAAGAAATTATAATTGGGATTGAATTGAGAAATCCCAATACACACGCGAATTTGAATAATCGCCGTGATATTTATGTGTTTTAATAATTGTTTACAGAAGATTATCTGAGTATGAATTAAAAAATTTCAGATCAAGGCTTCAAACTTTGCGTAAAGATTAAGTATGATTTTTGTTTCAAACCTGATATGTTTCGCAACGAAAATGTAATTTTGAATGCTGTTAGCTGGTACGTTTCGCTCGTGATGCGCGTCATTCGTTATTTTAAGGAACTAACTATTTTATGCCAAAAAGTAATGTTAAACACCACGTGCATTACGATCCTATTCATTACTCATACATCACACATCACTCTAAAGTATACTATTTTGATGAGTAAGTCAAAGAAAGGGGATGTTTAATAAGTTTATCGTTTAGTTATTATTAAGTTTCACTTTTCAATATAGAATCATAATTTCATTTTGTAATCATTTACATTAACTGCACTTTTACTTACAGTTCTGTAAAGCTGTTGTTAATGATAATCCTACCAATTAAATTCACACGCAGCTTCAATATGTCCACCTCTGAGGTTCATACACTCCCGCAAACGAACTTTCATATTTCGGCGAGTTTTCTCACCAAGATTGGGAATTGATCGAAAATAATTAAAAGCTTCTTCAATTCGATGTTTTAAATGATCGACTGATCTGAACTGTTGACCTGAGCGATAGACAATTCAGCTGATGAAGCTGGACAACGAGGCACGCCTTCTTCGAATAATCCGAACCAATGGTGGGATTTTCCGTGTGCGGAGAAGAAACATAAAAAAAATGTTCGTTAAAAAAATGGACCATTTTAATCATCAGCATAAAGTGCTTGAAAACGCATAACTCATCGCTGCTTTGTCAATAGTATACTATTTACATATATATTGGCGCTGGATGTAAAAATTTACAAATAAAGAAGCTGCGAAAATGATGAGAAACGCAACATCATTTCTTAAGAGAACTGTTGTAGATGTGACACATAGCTTATTTCACAAAGTTCATCGTTATGACAACTAAAACACGATTAAACAAACAAAAAATTGTTTCTTTTTACCTTGATTTTCAAGTTCAAGGTCAATTTTACGAGGAGTTTTTTATGGCAATTTCCACCAAATTGTAGGCGTAGAATCATAGCGGGCGTGACATATCATTTTGTGACACCCTGTACAAGTCTGAGGAAGTTGATTTCACAGACAATCGACAGATACACAATAAGTATCTATCTCTCAAAATCCTATATTTTGACTTGTTAGACATTGACTAGTACTAACGAATATTGACTTTAATAACAGTGACACACTTACTTAAATAAAAGATAATATTCCTTTAACTTTTTTGTCAAAGAAATTGTGTCATATTTTCTCTAAATTTCACTGTTAAATTGCATCTAAAAAAAAAAAGAAAAAAGAAAAAAAGAAAGCAGAACAAAAATAAGAAATCATTCGAATTTCTTGACTCTTGACTCGTGAGAATTTCATGAATGAAGAATACGTGCCGTCCGATTCTAGAATTGAAATGTATCATTGAAGGTTTCTCACATGTCCTTTTTTCTGGAATTTACACAATATTATAATTACTCTAATTACGATCACCTTTTATTGATTTTTATAACTTCTGGTTATTGGAATAGATTGCGAAACGTGTAAATCGATCCCTGGCAAGACTGGTTTCCCTCAATTTTATTCATTTGATGGTTGTTCGTTACAGAGTCGGGGGTACTGGACTAATTACTCAACAAGTTATTCGCAAATGTATTAATAATTTCAACACGATATGCTTCTTATTTCAGATCCAATAAAGAAATTTAACAAAGTATACAAGTATGCAAGAAAGTAGACAGTGTTTATTTAAATCTTGCGTGTAAAATTCCGGTTACTTTAAGATTTATTTGAAACGTTTAAAAAATTGTTTAGGAATGATAAATGCATATTAGAGAAAAAAGTACATCGATAATTATGGATCAATTTTGTTCTTTCCATTCGATATTTTATTATTCTTCTTTCAATTTATTACCTAGAAGTGGAGAAAACATTGAAAACATTAATTTCGTAGGAATTATGATTTAGCGTTTATACCTATAGTCTCTGGTCATAAATGTCGCCTGCAAAAACAAACAAACCCAGATGAGACCAATGAAATTTAGGTATTCCGAAAGTAAACAAAAAAACGCTACAAAGCCTGCCTTTTTTTTAAACGAGGAGCGAGTCCCTATTAACCATTAAAAAACATTTTATAGCGTTTTTTGTCTGTTTTCAGAATATACATATAAACGCGAATGGTTCGCATGAATTGAGACTTTTTATG